GTGATGCTGGGTCTTGCTTGTTCAGCTCCTGCGATATCACCTTCCTGCTCAGAATGTTGTATATCTCTCTCACCACCGTCTCAAAGGCAGCTGTTACGTTAGACGAGTCCAGTGCCGACGTCTCCATGAAGAACAGACCCTGCGCCTCCGCCAACGCCTTCCCTTCCCCCGTCGACACTTCTCTCACTTCCTTTAGATCACTCTTGGTAGGGAAATATGGGGGGGTTTGTTGCTTCGGGTGGTTTTTAGTGGTTAGGGGGGAATGAATGATGTTTTAGGGTTCATTTTGCTGATGATTCTCAAGTATTTTATGGATGATGAGATTTGATTATTATATACAATTGACTTGGGGATGATGCTGCTGGTGTAAAAAGCCTTGTGTATTGCCTAGTTTGGCAGTCTTGTCATTTTCAGGTGCTGCATGCAATTTGTTAATCGCCTGCTTCTGGGGGGCTCTCACCTCCTGTCTTCCTTAACTAATCTCAAAATGGTTCACGTCTTTTGTTGCCATTTGTTGCGTTTGTAAATGTTTTTTTTTAATACTTAGCCATTGTATATATTATATATATATCTGAAGAAAAATAAAGATAAAAACGGGGGGTAAATGGGGCTCTGTCGTTCTCGTTTACTTTACTTTAATGTGGTGAGACGTGGATCTCCAGTCGTGTCAGTTGTACTTTTAATGGGCTCCATCATATGGGCCTGGGAGCCCAAATGTAAAAAAAAGTAAGAACGGAGGCTATGGACCTTTATGGGCTTCTTCTTCGGTTCCTCTCCTACCCTATATATTTGCACACTACGTCAACAAAGGCATCTTCTCGGGTTTCGGATTTCTCCACCGTGGTGTCTCATCATGAGTTCTGCTTGCAAGAGATTATTGAGCAATGCTTCAATTTCGTCTCTCAGATCCGCCACCAGATCTTCCCGCCCTAAGTCTCCCACGGTCGGAGCCAACAATCGATCTATGCCTGCTGCCGCCTCACCTCTTCGCCACTTCTCGTTATCCAGGTGTGTACCTCGCTTTCTTTGTTGTCTACTTGTTCCTATCGCTTTTTAATGCTCTGGGTTTCCTTCTCCTTTTTCTGGGTCTCCCTAATTTGATGTATATATGTGCCCTCTTGCGTATGGATTGGCGTGCGTTTAGGTGTCCATCTGAACTGGGATGTGTTCAGTCTTTGTTACCGCTCCACAGCGCCGTCGCGGCCGCCCGGCTGACGTCGTGCCTCAGCACGACCTCCAGTAGCTGCAGGGCCCTCTCTCAGGGTACACTCTGCTGCACCTCTCCCGACCTCTAATACTCTTTTCTCTTTTCTTCCTTGTGAGTATTTTTTTTTTTTGCTTCCTGTTTCTCTACATTTGTATGTATTGTTTGCATCCTTCCATATAACCTAGGTCTGTTCTTTGGTTTAGGCTTCGTAGTTGGTCCTATGCCGTGTTCATTCACTAGTCTTGTTTGTTTCTAACTGATATTCTCTGCGCGTCTGGGTTGCTAAATGATTGTTTTTTCTTAATACGTTTCCTTTTTAGTTGCGTCAATTTCGTGTCGTTTTTCTAGAATTCAGGTTAGCTAATGTTTGATAGCCCAGCTCTTTAGTTGCTGTGCTGATTGTTGTAAGGATCATATGTCTAGCCCCTGCAAAGTGTCAGATTTCTGAGTATTACTTCACAGTTGCTTCATGACTAGGCTTTTTTAAGAGTTCAAAACTTCATAGCTTTATGACATTTATTTTTGCTTGGTATGTGATTTGGTTGGTGAGATCAGATGGAAACTGAAGTATTTGATTGCTAGGCACATCATTGTGACCGTGAACTTGATTGCTATGCAGTCTGGTGTAAGGAATCTATGGATTAAATCTTTAGCCCTAGCAACTTGGAAACATTTTAGGCTGAGTGAATCTGTTTCTGGACTTCTCTAAAAGCTGGGAGATTTAGTGCCACAAGCACCTGTCTAATTATGACTACTTGGTTCATGCAGGCACGTAACTTCACCGTCATTTAATGAAAATGAACTGGGAAATTTACCATGTGGGGTTCTTGCATCTGTATCAAGTACGGATCTTTTTTGAGTTCATATAATTCAAGGGAATGTGGGAAAACAAGGGATTCTTGTGTTTTGTTGATTCACTAATGTACGTGCGCCATAATCCTATCTTACACATTGGATCTTTAATCCTACCCTAGTAGCCCAGTCAAACGAAAAGAAATGTGAGAATACAAGAGTATTATAGTAGCTATATGATATCAGAACTGTGAAAAGCGGAACCTGAGCCCGAAATATCCTTAATCTCATGTTGCATCACTTGTGACTTGTTCAATGTATTTCTCAGTTATGCTTTCTACTTTTATTTGAAAGTGCTGGAGTAGACAAACTAGTTAATCGTCTGTCTGTAAGAGGGTACACATAGTAATATGCGAAATGCTCCTTGTCTCAGATGGAGTTGATGGCACATGAGACGTATTTGCTGTTGTTAAAGGTGGGTTCTGTCAGCAATGCCTCACGATACATTAGAGTTAGGAAGCTATTTTAGATGGGGTTTCTTCTTGACTACTTGGCCGTGTTGCCTGGTTTTGCTGTGATGTTCATCTGGTTAACAATAGTAACCTTGCCTTACATCTTTTATTGTAAAATCAAAGGCACTAGCATCCATGTTTCTCTTTTACTACGTTTCTTGTCTGTTTGTGCCCTAAGTTTTGGCTTCTCTTATGTTTTGTTGCTCTAGAGCTTGGTCTTTCTGTTCCGAGGTGACATGCCAATACCATCATGAAGACATTTCGTTGGATTTACCATCGTTGATGAGGCAAGTTGCTCTCTTTATCTTGTTAAAACTTAGGGACAAGGAAGAAGATCATTCTTTATCAAATACTTCTATCCCATGTACTCTGATTGGTTCATACTTGTTTTGTGTTACAACTCCATAGCCAAAGACCCAGAGCTTCAGTTGTGATGAAAAAAAAAGGCAGTTTCACTAATTAGATAGCTGGCAAATGTGATTAAGTTTATGTCTTGTATTATTAGGTGTTTCTCTGGTTGATTACATGAATACATTACCCTCCTCAATCCAGCTAGAACCAGGTTCTTTCCTCACCCCTTTGTCTCTCATCATCTTCCTAATTAGAATCACATCTCTCCATTTCCCACTGTAAGCATACAGATTTGACATCACAACATAAACATATTCATCCTCATCAGCTTCCCCTAGTTGGATCAACTTTGATGTGACCATCCTTGCAGCCTTCAAATCCCTACAAGCTCCACAGGCTCCAAGCAATGCCCTCCAAGCCACACCATTGAGCCCGAAACCAAATTCTTGTATTACTTGCTTTGCCCTCCACACTTCTCCTCGTTGCCCCATAGCTCTGATCACCGAGCAAATATGTTCTACACCTGGTTTGATCCCATAATCGTTGGCCATTGATTCAAAGTACTGGATCATCTCCTGAATTGGTACCTCACAATGTGAGCATGCTGCCAGGAGATTCAGGAATGTTATCCCATCAGGTTTTAGGAATTTTTCCTGTCTCATATGATGGAAGAGTTTAATGGCCTCTGATGCATTGCCATTTCGGGCGTACCCAGAGATCATCGTGTTCCAAGCAATCAGATTCTTCCTGGGCATTGTGCGAAACATCAGCTCGGCATTTTTTAACTGCCCGCATTTGGAATACATGTCTATGACAGCAGCTGCGATGACGACCAGAGAGTCTAATCCACGCTTCAGAGCACACGAATGGATCAGACTTCCCCATGAAACAACTGACAGAGCAGCGATGGCTGCTAAAATGGCTGAGATTGCATACTCGTCCATTTCAACCCCTTCGGAATGCATTGTGGTGAAAAGCTCGAGCGCTTCCCGCCACTGGTTTCTGTTGACGTAGCCTGTTAAGATGGAGTTCCACGAGGACGTGTTTGGATTTGGCATACTTGATAGGATATGAATCGCCATGTTCATGTCACCATACTTGACAAAAGCGTCGATGAGCTCGTTGTAGGTTATGGTGTCAGGGTTTGGCATCTGCCGGAAAAAGAAAAGCCCGAGCTCGAGCTCCTCGTTTCTGGCGCATGAAGCAACAATGGTGTTCCATGAAACAGTGTCTCTCTCTTCCATATCTCTGAAAACCAAGACCGCATCTTCCAGAGAGCCGCATTTTCCATACATATCAATCAAGCAATTGCCCGCTACATTTCCTTTTTCTATGCCGACTTTCACCATCTTGGAATGGATGGAAGAGCCGAATCGAAGCAGACGCAGTCGAGCACAAGCAGCCAAAGCGACTGTAAAAGAGAAAGCGTTGGGGAAAACGTCGGATCTCTCCAGCTCGAGAAACAAGCCGATGCCTTCCTCAAATCTCCCCGATTGAACGCATCCGGAGATGATCGAGTTCCAGGAAATAACATTTGGGTCAGGAATTTCGTAGAACAGCTTGTGCGCGTCACCTAGGGAGTCGGTTTTTTTGTAGCATCTAACCAACGAGTTGGAGACAGTGGTGTCTGAAGCAAACCCGTGCTTCGTTAGGTAGCCATGAAGCTGTCGGCAGAGAGAAACGTAGCCATGGTCGCCAGAGACGCGGAGCAAATGAACCAGTGCGGCGGCACCAGGCTTAGCGGAGGTCCATGAGGTAGAAGAGGGCGATTTTCGATGGAGAGATGGACCGGCATGGCTGTTTCTGGCGAAGACAGCGTCTGTCAGAAGAGCGAGAGCTGTGTGTGTCTCCGACACAGATCTTCGCATTTGATGTGCAGACAGTTGTTTTAGACTTTTAGTCAGTAGCGTTCGTAAAGCAAAAAAAAATGGTATCGTGAATTTTCATACAGAAAGGTTTGGGGTGTCAATTTCGACTTCCCAAACCGAAAAATAGTAGGTTTCGGGTTGAATATCTCGATTTGAAAATTTTCAGGTTTTTTGGTCGAGTTCGGATCGGGTTTCGGGTCACTAGAAAAACGATTTTTTTCAAAAAAAATAAAAAAATATATCTCAAACAACAAATTTAGCGGGGCGATCCGGGTCGAATCCAAGTCCGAAATCTATAAAATCGGGCTTTGGATTTTGTTATTTAGGACAGAAAAAAATCGGGTCGGTCCAAGTTCGAACCCAAAATTCTCGGGTCCAAACCGGTTTGATTGACACCCCTATAGAAAAGTGAAAACCCTGAACAAGAGAGGAACGCTTTTCTCTAAGTGGTGCGGTCGAATTCATGTAAATTGATGTATTTCCCTTTCCCACCTTTTCATTAGAAACAAAAAATCCATGATTTAATTCGAGGCATCCTCATCTGATTGAAGGTTGAGACCCATCGGCTTTAAATAGGGCGTTATTTATCTTTCTCTTTTTTTTTTTCTTTTTCATTATTGGAGACAAGCAAATATAGGAGTTGCGGCTATTAGAGGTCCATTGTCTTCTAACAAATCAGAGGTTGTGTAGAAAGAAGCCCTCTCCAAAAACAGACAACACCCCAATACACGAATCACCAGATTACTCTCTCTCTCTCTCTCCATTGCAGAACCCCCGAAGAACAAAAAGACAAAGGAACAAACTTTTCACATCAAGAGGGGAAAGAAAGAAGAAGAAACAGTGATCCCAAGAAATGGGCACATCAGTAATAGCCGATTAGTTGTTTGAGAGGATTCAGACAGGGACAATATATAGCTCCATCCCCCGGGCATCTTGTGAAGATGAAGAAAGGGGCGATAGAAGAGATGGCTATAATAGGAGGGCTGATAACAGTGCAGTTCGTATACGCGGGGAACTCTGTGTTGATGGGTTATTTGATGTCACTCGGACTCGGCCCTTTCACCATCGTCATCTTCTCCACCTTCGCCACCTTCCTCATTCTCTCCCCTTTCGCCCTCTTCTTCGAGAGGTTTCTTTTTACATCCATCTACCTCTTCTTCTCTGATTACAGACAGCATATGTAATGATATCGAGCTTGGGTGGTATGGTGCAGAAAGCAGTGGCCAAGAGAGTTTAGTTTGAAGCTAATGGTTAAGCTAGTTTTGATCTCCTTTGCCGGGTACCAATTGTATTTGTTAAATGTATATGAAAGAATGAATGAATGTGAATAAAAAGGAACTGACCTTCACTTGGGGTTTTGTGATAGGGTAACTGTGTTCCAGTCACTGTTCCTGGAGGGAATAAGGCTGACATCACCAGCAGTGGCAACAGCAATGCCCAATCTGGCACCTGCCCTCATTTTCGTAATAGCTTGGATTTCCCGGTTAGAGAAGGTGAACCTGAAATGCTTTTACAGCAAAGTGAAGATCTTAGGTACGTTGTTATGCGTAGTGGGAGCATTTGCAATGAGCCTCATCCAGAGCTCCGACAATGGAGTTTCTCGGTTGATAGAGTTTGATGAGGAGAGAGTCGTAGGATGTCTGTATCTTCTGGGAGCGGTCATCGTGCTGTCGAGCAACGTTGTCCTGCAGGCCTCCACTTTGGGAGACTTCCCTGCTCCCGTGTCCCTATGTGCCTTGACCTCGCTTATCGGAGTTCTGATAACAGCCGCTGTCCAGTTCTTCCAAAATCAGAGCCCTCAACTGGCCAGACCCCTCATCACCATCCAGAACCTCGTCGCTTATTCTCTTTTGGTAACATCTTTCGATATTCCATTATTCCATCCATGATTTGGTATTTCCGTATACATACATATACATGTGAAAAAAAAAAATGCAGGGAGGGACAGTGAGTGGAGCGTGCGTAAGCTTCAACGGATGGGCGATGAAGAAGAGAGGGCCGGTGGTGGTGTCGATGTTTAGTCCGGTTTCCACCGTAGTTTCGGCTCTTTTGTCATTCCTCACTCTCGGAGAGATGATCCCGCTCCCAAGGTAGGTTTTCTAAAACCCTTGCTTCTGATCCAAGTCACTGCCTCTTTACTTGTACACTTAAAAAAACAACGAATGCAGCATAGGAGGGATGCTGCTGATGTTCACGGGTCTCTACCTTGTCCTTTGGTCCAAAGGCAAAGAAGAATTCTCACTTCTCCACTCTCCCTTTGATGACTGTGAGTTCGATGCTCAGAAGCCTCTTTTGTCTTAACCTCCCGCCTCCTCTCCTCTCTTTGTAATTCTCCAGTGTTTTTCTCTTTCTTTTTTTAACCGGTTATCCTGAACCAAGGTCCAGACTAATTCTGAGATCGATAACCAATCACATGATTTAGAATATACGTTCCCTCCTCAAACTTGAGATTCAAATTCGGGACGGAACAAACGCTTTGTGTTTCTGTTTCACCGGTTAAATTACCTTTTTTCTTTTTATTATTACTATTGTTTCTTCTCTTTTTTTTTAATAAAAAAATCGTTTTGTAAATTCTTTTATTTTTTGTGTCCCATGGGATTAAATGTATGTATATACGGTAGTTTTGGTCTGATAAGAGTGTGGCAGATCTAAAGAGGAAAGATGTTCTTCCATATCCATTTCCATTTTTGTTTTATTTTATTTTGCAGAATGCTAAAATAGGAGACACTGGGGGATCATCAATCAAGGCTTAAAATCTAAAGCGGAAAGATGTTTTGTAATTTTATTTTATTTATTTTGTATAATTACAAGGTGCTACAATACAGAGGTATATTATGATATGAGTGGGTCGGATAATTTAAACTATTTTAGAGTATTCAACATTATATGTTTAATAAAAAAAATGAAATTTAATAATAATAATAATAATAATAATAATAATATGTGCTGCAATTAAAAAGAAAAAAGAAAAAGAGGAGAAGAAGAAAACAACGACAAGGCATTTAGTCAAAACCCAGACTCGGAATACAATCTCTCCTTGCTGCGGCGTCTACGGCGTCATAAATAAAACCCCAAATCAAGGTGGGAAATTCTCGCTCTCCCTCCCTCGTAAGTTTCACCGACGAATCTCTCTGACCTCTCTCTCTCTCTGGATCGGAATCCATGACTGCCCCTGACTCTTTCTAGTTCGTATTGACCTGCTTTTGATTTCCCCGAAAACCCTTGATTTTGTGCTTTCTCTGTCCCTTGTTGATCCGGGTTCAGGTCTTTTGATCCTGTGGAACGTGAAGCCTACAGCTTTCGGTTTCAGGTTTGGTTTCCTTCGAGGAACCGATCCCGCGGATTTTGTGGGCTAATTGCTCAAATCAAGGAGCAACTGTTTTTGGGAACCAGGATCAGCTTAGGGTTTTATTCTCGTGTTGATCTCTGTTTCGGTAGATGGCATCCACTTCTCAATTCCAGGTGGAGGATCAGACGGACGAGGATTTCTTCGACAAACTCGTCGATGACGACTTTAATCCCAGCGAAGCACAAGCATCATCTTCCGCTACGGGGATGAAGTTGGAGGACGGCAATGACTCCGATGACGCTACAGCTTTTGCCAATCTCTCCATCAGCGATGATTCTGGTGGAGATGGTACATTGCTTGAGGCAGAAGGGGGGAATGATTCTGCAAAAACTAATATAGGCGCTATTACTTCCGAAGCTGCAGAATTTATCCGTAGCAATGCAAATAAATCGAGCAATGAAGGGCTGTTATCGGAAGAAGTGGCAATATCTGCGACAGCAGGGGAAAGCCCAATACTTGATGGATCTGGGGGTTCTGGCATTAAGGAAGTCGGTTGGAGCTCGTTTTATATGGATTCATCCGTCAACAATGGCCAGGGTTTTGGTTCATACTCGGATTTCTTGAGCCAGTTCGAGGAAGATGCCGTAGATTCACAAGGAAAGGCGAAGGAATATATCACTGGTGGTGGAAACATAGTCTCCAACAATTCAAATAACAAAAACATTGGTTTAGACAATTCGGTGGGTTTGGGCCATCAGGGGGAACTGCACAGTGCTTATGCGAATGGGCAGGATACAGATATCAGTCAATACTGGGAAAATCTCTACCCTGGATGGAAGTATGATGCAAATACTAGGGAGTGGTATCAAGTTGATGGTCATGAAGAAAACATGAATTTGCAGGGGAACTATGGCCATTCAACAGATGACTGGAGTGGGGGTTCTGCTGGAAAATCTGATGTTGCTCATCTCCAACAAAGTACTCAATCTGCCATTGAGACAGTGACTGAGACAGGCACAACTGAGAGTGTGTCTGGATGGAACCAGCTTTCACATGTGAACAATGGATATCCTGAGCATATGGTCTTTGACCCTCAATATCCAGGTTGGTACTATGACACGGTTGCTCAGGAATGGCTCACATTGGACAGCTACATTCCGGCTGCTCAAACCACAGGTCTTGACGCTCATAATCAACAAGTTCAGAATGGCTATGTTTCTACAGGATATAGTGGCCATAGCAATAGTAGTGATATGTATGGTGAATATGGCCAGAAACAGACACTGGCGACCCAAGAATTCAGTAGCCAAGCGCAACAAAGCATGTGGGATCAGTCTAGCTATGTCTACAATAACACATGGCAGTCAGAAACTGCAGCCAGGGCTGAGACCACTGTAACTTCTTCATTATCAAGCTTTGTTGTAAACCAGCAGATGAATAGTAACTATAGTACCGAGGCTGTTGCTGAACAGCCAGCAGTTGCACAAACATTTGGAAAGACGAGTCAACCACAATTTAAGACTAATGAGATCGGCGTACAGAGCTTTAGCCCTCCCTATAAAGATACGGGTGTTTTCCAGCAAAAGGGACCAGTGAATTTCTCAAACGATTTTTACGGTGTGCAGAAATCTCCAAATGTTGCCCAACAGTCATTTCAGAGCAGTCAACAGTTCTTTCCTGCTCCAACTGTAGGAAGGTCACCTGATGGACGTCCCATACACACACTTGTTAGTTTTGGTTTCGGTGGAAAGCTAATAGTTATGAAAGATAATAGTGGTTCTCTCCAGAATTCATCATTTGGGAGCCAGGTTAGATCAACGTTTACTTTTTCACGAGTTTATACTATGCTTTAACAAGTTTCCAGAAACTATGATAAAGTTCCAAATCACATATTCGTTGTTTATAACCTCAAAGCAGAAGAAACGTGTTTGAATTCTCATCTGATTGTTCTTTTTTTTTTCATCCGATATGAAGGGAACTATGGGAAGCTCTATCTCTGTGCTAAATCTGGCAGAAGTTTTCACTGGGAATGCCAATACTTCAAATATGGGAGGGGGCACTTCAGGTTACTTCCATTGTCTATGTCAACAATCTTTCCCTGGTCCCTTGGTTGGAGGAAATGTTGGAAGTAAAGACCTAAATAAGTGGCTTGATGAGAGAATTGTGAATTGCGACTCTCTTGAAGTGGATTTTTCAAGAGGACAACTTTTGAGACTTCTTCTTTCTTTGCTCAAAATATCATGTCAGTATTATGGGAAACTCCGCTCTCCTTTTGGCACCGAAACAACACAACAGGTAAACAATTATTTGGAGTTGTTTTCTCTAAAGAAACCTTTATTATCTCAAGTTTGCTTCACAATTTTTTTATGGCCTCTTGTTTTTTTCATTTATGTATTTGCATTATTATAGGATACAAATACTCCGGAAGCTGCAGTTGCAAAACTTTTCGCATTTGCGCAGAAGGATGGTATCCAAAATGTTAGTCAAGCAGCTTTAGGTCAATGCGTGCTGCATTTACCACCTGAAGCACAAATGCAAGTGAGTTTTGGATGATCATATCTCATGTTTTTCTTTCAATATAAAGCGGTTCTTAAACTATAGGGGTTCTGTTTTCTCTCCGTTACTCATTTCTAGGATCTCTCCAGGTAACTGCTTCAGAGGTTCAGAGTCTTCTTGTTTCTGGTAGGAAAATGGATGCTTTACAATGTGCGCAAGAAGGCCAGTTATGGGGACCTGCACTTGTCATTGCAGCACAGCTAGGGGATCAGGTTTCTTTTGCATGATACTATAGTTCCAGACATTTCAATGACTCAACAGTTTTGGGTTCTTACTCTGGTGATTATGTGACTAACTGGGTTGATGCCTCTAATCTGATGCAGTTCTATGTTGATACTGTGAAACAAATGGCACTTCGCCAGTTGGTCCCAGGATCACCTTTGCGGACATTATACCTGCTAATTGCGGGCCAACCAGCAGAAGTGTTCTCCACAGGAAGTGCAGGTGGTAGCAGTCTTCCCGGCTCCATGCATATGTCTCAACACCAGCCGCAGGTGATTCATAAACTCGTTTTTTTCTCAATCAGCCTACAATATAGAGAGCCAGGGAAATGTCTAGATTTTTGTGATAGGAGGGAGATGAGAGATGTGTTATTCTTTGACAGGAAACTATTTGACTCTTCTATTACTAAGAATATATGATATGTATGAAAGATCTTTTACAGGATTAAATGATCTCTAATAGTGTATCTATCTCTGAACTAGACTACTTGTTGTCTGTTGTAGTCATTTCTGTTAACAATACAAAAGCCAAAGGTATGGCAATAGAATGTAATGGTTTGGCTCATGTTTAAATAGCAATCCTAATTGCAGAGAAGGTTCCATCAGAAGAGTTCTACACCTTGGCATAGTAAGGAAAAAAAAGATTGGGCCATAAGAAAAATGACATTTTTATGTTTTGTTGATTATTTTTTGTTTGGGACGGGGTGGAATTTTTTTTTCTGGATCCTTGTGGAATGACCTATAGAATAACAATAATTTAAAAACAATATTTAAGTTAAGCATTTTAACTGATTTCTCTCTCCCTTACGAGTTAATGACCTTGAGCTGCAGTTTGGAAGCGACAGCATGCTTGGCAACTGGGAAGAGAACTTGGCTATAATAACTGCAAACAGAACCAAAGACGATGAGCTTGTGATCACTCATCTTGGAGATTGCTTGTGGAAAGAAAGGAGAGAGGTGGGTTTTGTTCCTTGACGAATGTCATTTGTGTACTACATGAAACACGTTATCACTAAAACTTGGATGACTGTTGACCCAGATTATCGCAGCACATATCTGCTATTTAGTCGCCGAAACGAACTTTGAACCATACTCTGATGGTGCAAGACTCTGCCTTGTTGGAGCAGATCATTGGAAATATCCTCGAACTTACGCAAGTCCAGAGGCTATCCAGGTATTTCACGTATTTGACATGCTTACATGCATTCATACGCTCCAAAGCAATTCAAGCAAGCTGCGCCATTTTGTTTCTTGTATACTGATCACTTCTAATGTGTGAACAGAGGACAGAGTTGTATGAATACTCTAAGGTGCTAGGAAACTCTCAATATATCCTGCTACCATTTCAGCCTTATAAGCTGATATACGCCCATATGCTGGCTGAAGTTGGTAAAGTTTCAGATGCGCTAAAGTAAGGATAAACTAATGCATTTTTCATCTGTTACTCCTTTTTTGGGTCATACTTGGCTGCTTAACATTGGATTGCCTATGTATCAGGTACTGTCAAGCAGTACTAAAATGCCTCAAAACGGGCAGAGCCCCTGAAGTGGAAATGTGGAAACAGCTCGTTTTATCGCTTGAAGAGAGAATCCGTATCCATCAACAGGTATATCATATTTGACCTTTGGTTCCATTGTAATTATTTAGAATTGCGGCTTTAGCTGTGGTTTTCGGCTTTGAGCCTGTCGAGTTTTATCTGCTTCCCTTTTAGCTGTAAGTTGTTCGCTTCAGATGTGAGCTTTTGCAGATACCGGACTCATTAATTGTCTTTTTTTCTTCCAGATTTTAAATGACTTTGAATTTTGATGTGGCTTTTCTGATTTGGAAATCATTTTTTCCTTTTCCGTTCTTTTATTGAATGTCTTTAAAGACATTGAGCTTTTTTATCGACGTAGTTATCAATGTTTTCAGATGTCCAAAAAGCTGGAAATAGTATGCGGTTTAATATTTTGTGCCTTGTCTAATGATCCAACTTAATGGGCATGCCAATTTCAGGGTGGATATACTGCAAATCTTGCTCCAGGAAAACTCGTTGGAAAGCTGCTCAACCTTTTTGATAGTACTGCACATCGCGTTGTTGGAGGCATGCCACCACCTGCACCATCCTTATCTACAGGAAACTTTCTAGTAAATGAGTATAACCATCAACAAAGAGCAGCGGCTGGAGTATCAACTAGCCAACCAGCCATGACAATGCCATCATTGATGCCATCTGTTTCAATGGAGCCCATACGTGAATGGGGTGGTGGTGAGAGTAAGATGACAGTCCAGGCTAGAAGTGTATCAGAGCCAGTTTTTGGTAGGACGCCAAAACAGGTGCGTATATCATTAGGAAAACGTTTTTAAAAAAAAAAAAAAAGCTAAGAATTATCAGTAAGATGGGCATCATATAAGATTTGCGTTTTGCTTATAGGATGAGGTTGGCTCTTTAAAAGAAAAAGCTTTGGACGGGGTGATGTCCCAGGAGAAATCATCAGAGGCAGGGACAGGTTCACGGTTAAGTCGCTTTGGTTTTGGAATACTGAAGAAGACAGTTGGGAGGGTCTTACAAGCTAGGCCAAGCCGAGAGGTATATCTGTCTCAGTGACTGTTTCGGTTTTTTACGACTGTCTGTTTGTGCTAAGTCTAATTGTTCACTTGTACCTGTAGGCCAAACTGGGTGAGGAGAACAAATTCTACTATGACGATAAACTGAAGAGATGGGTAGAGAAAGGCGTAGAACCACCAGCTGAAGAAGCTGCTCTACCACCCCCTCCAACAACAGCTGCATTCCATACCAACTCACCGGGTTCGAGTTTGGGTTCTGACTCTAATAACGAGATGTCTCCCCCGAGTGGGAACCAGAGTTTCGGAAGCCCAGCTCCATCAGAGAATTCATCAGGAATGCGTCGACAGTTGCTAAGTCTAATTGTTCACTTGTACCTGTAGGCCAAACTGGGTGAGGAGAACAAATTCTACTATGACGATAAACTGAAGAGATGGGTAGAGAAAGGCGTAGAACCACCAGCTGAAGAAGCTGCTCTACCACCCCCTCCAACAACAGCTGCATTCCATACCAACTCACCGGGTTCGAGTTTGGGTTCTGACTCTAATAACGAGATGTCTCCCCCGAGTGGGAACCAGAGTTTCGGAAGCCCAGCTCCATCAGAGAATTCATCAGGAATGCCACCTATCCCAAGTGGTTCGAATCAATTCTCGGCACGTGGACGTATGGGTGTCCGTTCAAGGTAATATGAGTTGTTTCAATATCTCAAGTCCCAACCGAAGTGTGATTTTATGGATGGTTACAAATTGTGTTTGTTTTTTTTTTGTTCTGCAGGTACGTCGACACATTCAATCAAGGACGTGGAAGCCCGGGAAGCATGTTCCATTCACCACCCGTCCCAAGTGCGAAATCATCAATGCCAACAAACACAAAGTTCTTCATACCAACAACACCACCGGTGACACCTGAAAACGAGGAGAAGGGAGGAGAAGAAGCTGGTGAAACAAGAAGCCAGCCGCCGTCCCAGTCCCTGACATCATCATCGTCATCTCCAGAGACTGCAATCAATAGTAGATTTCCAAGCATTGACGACAACAACAACATCAGACGAACAGGATCAGGAACAAACGTGAAGAGGGAGAGGGGTCTTCCTCCTGCATCATCCAGAAGAACAGCTTCATGGAGTGGAAGCTCTTCAAGTGACCCTCAGCAAGTCATGTCTTCCCCCCCTATCCCACTTCATCCTATTAGCAGTTTCGGTGTCGATGAACTTCAGGAGGTCCAACTCTAAGTGTCGAAGGTGAAATTGCTCTCTGGGATCTTGGGACAGAAGAGGTCAAGCCGGACAGGGGGGTTGGCAACTATCTATACATACATATATGCATATATATGGTTCCTCTTCTTTTTCGGCGGATGAGAATTACAGTAGAGATAAAGATAGATACAAAGTTTGTACAGGCGTTGATTCGTTTTTTTTCTTATCTCAGAAGCCCCCATGAGATTCATCAAAACTGTACCGACTGGTAAACTGAATAAAAGGACCAAATATCTTTTTTTTTTTTGGGAATAATAATAACAATGAGTCCTTGATTGGATTTGGGTGTTCGTACGCAGATCATAAAGTTTAAGCTTTTCAATCAGATACTATAATAATCAGACCCGAGTCGCGATTTGTACCCGTACAGAAACAGAAACAGAGACGGACCAGAATTCCTTCCTTCAGTACCGATTCTCTGCGACTATCAAGACTCCATACCATGAGGATCCTGTGGCGAATCAACGGAGGGAGCGCAGACGAAACTGTGAAAATGGCTCTTAAGAATAGAACGAGAGAGAAGAAAACGAAGAAAATTTAACCCACGCGCCTATTTTTCTGAATCGACGAAAAAGGGCGAAAACCCCGGACTATAGTCGAGGGGTTTTGGGTCCGTGGCGTCCACGCGCGCCATGTGCGAGTGGGCATTTTAACTTCGTGCTCGACGAAACCCATTTATGATGATGGGCTTTTCATTGGGCCGCTTATTAGTTTTATTGGGCTTACATTTGAACTATTCATTAGACATAATTGGGCTATTTTGCTTGATCTTCAATCACTAAATTTTCAAGCCCATACGATTATGGGCCGAAACGATTCGGTTGACGGCTTTTTCTAGGGCTCTGCCAGTCTATAAAAATAAAAATTGATTATAATTTTTTTTTTTATAAAAATACAGGTACAAACACAGATAAAACCAAATATCATTTTTTTAGGAATAAAATAATAAGAAATCCTTAATTAGATTTGGGTGTTTGCAGTGATTGTTTTGGGCAAAGCATGGGTTATTGGAGGAGAGGACGTATACGAATGATAAAGTATACACTTTATTCATTGAAAATTCACTGACCAAACTATGATGGACGGAGAAAAGAAAAAAAAAAGGAATGGAAAGTAAAAATAGACCGAATAAAAAAAAAAAAAAAAAAAAAGGGAGGCTAAGCGAGAAATGACTCTCAGAAACGGAGAGAAGAAAAATTAACCCACGCGCCTATTTTTCTGAATCGACGAAAAAGGGCGAAAATCCCGGATTATAGCCCGGGGGTTTTGGGTCCGTGGCATCCACGCGCGGGAGATGCGAGTGGGCATTTTACCTTCGCTCTCTGCGGAACCCATTTATGATGGGCTTTTCATTGGGCCTTCTATTTGGTTTATTGGGCTTACATTTGAGGGTTCGATTAGACATAATTGGGCTATTTTGCTCGGTCTTCAGTCGTTAAATTTGTAGGCCCTAATGAATATGGTCGGGACAATTCCGTTGGATGCTCGTTTCATAGGGCTCTGGCCGGTCAACAAAAAATGGAATTCGATTACAAATTTTCTATAATAAAAAAAGGGAAAGAATAAATGGAATGGAATGGAATGGGAAGTAAAAAAGGGGGAGGCTAAGCGTCCTGAGGGGAGATCCAATGGCGGCCGTTGACAAAGCTCTTGGCAAGGAAAGGATGGGCGGAGTCGTAGTCCAACTCTCTCGCCCATGACACTCCTCTCGTCGCTGCTGCTCCTCGACCCCAGCACTTGTATACCCCGAAATACACCGTCCTGTCATATATATATATATTCAGTTATATATATATATAAAAGATAAGATAAGATAAGGAAACAAGGGAGTTTACTTACTTGGTCTTGTTGCCGGTACGGTCCAAAGCGTCCCAGCCGCCGGGAGCGACAAGAACGTCGAAGAAAGTGTAAGCGTAGACGATGCGAGAGTACTGACCCATGGCACGTCCCACGTACAAAGGCCCCTTTCCCGTCACACGACATCCCACAAATGTGAAACCCGTTCTCTCATCCTTCGACCTCCTGTCCTGCGCCGCTATCGACCCGAATCTCCTTGCTATCGAGTGTATCTCGCACTCCTTTATTATGCATATACACACCCACAAAACATTAGTAATATGAACATTAAACTAATTAATTGAAGAAGAAGACAAGATTATACTTTGTACATGGAGCGGCCGTTGCCGAAGATGAAGTCGATAGAGCCTTGGATGTAACAGCGCTTGAAGTAATGGCGGCCGGCGTCGTCACAGAGTGTGTCCTGTGCTCCGTAGAATCCGCAGTCGGAGAAGTAAGCCTTGTCCCCTGCTATCCTGAATGCCACCGCCTGCCACCCTTCCATCCCTGGCATCGGCGCCGGCGCTGTATTCTTCTCCATTTCATTTTCATTTCCATTTCATTATTATTATAATTATTTCCAAAATTATAAAACAAAAAAAAATGTATATGTATACCTTGAAGCTGATATTCCTGGCGGAGAAATAATTGGCGAATACTGTGACGGAGGCCGTGTGGTACGTACGGAGCTGTTGGCCGTCCGGGCCTCGGTCTGACGCACGGTCGTGCCACTCTATCACCGTCACCTCCCTCCCCGCCCCCTCAAATGTTATGTACGGTTTCGTCGCCGGAACCACCACCTTCTCTCTGCCCACCCAACGCCGCCCCATTACACGTCAATACTTCAAGTCCCACGTTCATTAAAGAAGAACTCATCTTGATCACGTGCATGAGCTATGCTCACTTTCTCAAGAAGATTTACATGTGTTCATATATATATGGAATTGAGTGAAAGGGAAATCGAGTTTGTTTTTCAGATTACTTGTAATATCCGGGACTGATCTTGAGGATGATGGTCATGTTATTGTTCTTGGGAACGGAATCGACTGCGTCTTGGACGGAGCGAAACTGACCGCCTCCATTGACGTCGATGGTGATGACACGGCGGCCGACAGGTCCCACCCACTTGTGGTGGTGGCCGTGGCGTTGGTGCTCTGCTGTGGCGTTCGAGCATGCTGCAACAAATGAATTGCGAAATGATAAGAAATTCAATACAATGAATAATAAACACAAACTTGAGAAACGGGAATGAGAATGTGAATGTCTGAGATTCGCCATAGTGACTGTGAACTGAGAAATCAACGGGCAGATAGTGTGGAATAGTGTTGGTGAGTAACGGTCGAATGGTAGGTCTTCTATATTTATAAGCCAATCAGTTGAGGGAATTCAAGTTTTCTTCTCTTCTTTCCAACGGTCAAATTTTGTTGTTTGGACACAACACAAGGCGTTGGACAAAACTCGAGATGTTTTGTCTTCGAATGTGTTGTCACGATGTGTATGTATTGGTCCCTTTTTCAACCCTAGCCTCACGTGCCTCTGCATGCCGCCCTAATTGCATCCATGTTGTAATAGTTAGATTCTTAAATATTCGTAGGTGTTATTATATTCGTTATACCACGTCCTCGTGCCCATGGCCGTGGATATATAATATATGCTACCTGGAGCGAGCTAGCATAAGGAACCCACTCTCTCTCTCTCTCTCTCCTCACTGCTGTTTTCTTCTATATATATAACTTCATAAAATGAATCGTATTTCTAACGAACACCCATACATATATATATATATATAGATATATTTCAGTAATATTAGATGGATCTAAACACGTGATTAGGTTTGGTTTAAAGCCCAGCAGATCATATACTAATATTAGATAATTAGTTAGATGTGAATTAGGGAGTAAGTGGAAGGAAAGGGATGGACCAAGCATGGGTGAACACGTAAATTTATTGGGATCACGTGAAGCGACGAATGGGTCCCACCGTAGTTCATCACTTGGTTTTTTTTTTTTTTTTTGAACGTTGGGAAAAGGAAAGGACCAACAAACCTTCTGGGAGAGACCGAAGGGACCATGACAAGACACTCCGTACGATACAACATTTCCTTTTGTGACGAGACTACCCCTGACCGCCGAAAAGTGACAAACTCAGAATGTGAGGATCTATTCATCATTGTCCGACCAACCGGGACCCTTGCATGACACATGTGGGCCCCAAACGCACCTATTATTTTCAACGAAAATAGATAAAGAATGGGCCGGTCTGGGCCGGACCTTAGAGTACTGTGCATATTCTATACCTTAATTGGGCTTCCGCCTGACCGCAGAATCGGTTTGAGTCGTAGACATAGTAGTTGGGTCCTTTTTTACTCTACGGAGTTACAGCTGATGAGATTATAAGCGTATGATATGACCTTTTCCACGTCAGCTCAATCATGTCTCGCATGTCCATCGTAATTGGCTTTTGATGAGATCATGAATCACATTTCATCAAACGTCACCAAGGATCCATCGTCCATCACCATCGCCAACTTCAGAGGAGGTGTATCACAGTCTCAGAGCTTCTCTCATGAAATGAAAAACAAAAAGGAAATTTACAGATTGACGATGGCTCCTACGCTTGCATCAGCAGCACCCAAAAGGCAAATCTTTTTTTAGCACATGGTCAAGCAGCCGAACAGCACCAGCCTTTCTTGGAGTCGGTGGCAGACTCTCCAGCCCCGTCATGGATGATGACCTTCTTCCCGTTGCTGAGGGATGCTGGGTCTTGCTTGTTCAGCTCCTGCGATATCACCTTCCTGCTCAGAATGTTGTATATCTCTCTCACCACCGTCTCAAAGGCAGCTGTTACGTTAGACGAGTCCAGTGCCGACGTCTCCATGAAGAACAGACCCTGCGCCTCCGCCAACGCCTTCCCTTCCCCCGTCGACACTTCTCTCACTTCCTTTAGATCACTCTTGTTCCCCACCAAGATCGTCACCACGTTCATATCCGAATGTGCTGCACAAGTTCATAGGAAAGCCATGAATACAACTCCCTGGAGTTGATTTGAACCCAGGCTTTCTGTCTCAGGAAGCAGCTAATAGATATGGACGTTTTACAGTAAAGAGACCCAAGATATTTACATTATCTCTAAAGAGGTATGTTGGCCAAAGAACAAACAGCATTTGGAGATTGTTTAGAAGAGAGACAGAGTTTTGCGGTTCTTACTGTGAAGCTCGTTGAGCCATCTACCGATGCTGTCAAAAGTCTGTCGTCTACTGATGTCATAGACGAGAAGAGCTCCAACAGCACCGCGATAATATGCAGAAGTGACAGCCCTGAAACGTTCTTGACCTGCTGTGTCCCATATCTGCGCCTTGATCTCCTTTCCATTGATATCCATCTTCTGTGTCTGGAACTCTACCCCTATAGTTGATTTTGAATTGGGATAGAATTCGTCCCTCGCAAATCTTGCTAGCAGATTCGATTTCCCCACTGCAGAATCACCAATGAGGACAATCTTGAAGAGGTAATCTTCACTCTTGTCCTCCTCCGAATAAAATGCCATGTCCTTTTTCCGCTTTCACAGCTCCTCTAGAGAACCATATCTTCACAAATTACTTGTACACAATTTCCAGAGGCCAAATATCTCCGCTAAGAAAGAAAAAAATAAAACAAATGGGCCAAAGTGATGAAGAGAAGAGAAGAACAAAGACAGTTAGGCAAAGGAAACTTCTGAAAACAGGAAGGTATAGATTTAAATTGTTACAACAATAGGGTAAACAAGAGAATCTTTTAAGTCACCTGTCTTGTCAGGCCGTCCCCTTGAAGGTTTTGTCAACAATTTCACTAAATTTCTTGCCTTTCAATGCTCCGCCGCTACAAAAATCTATTACAATCAACAAAGTGCAGATTACAGTATTGCAGCAGATCTAAGTGATCTGAGCAGGCACACCTCTATATATGCCCCAGCCACGGCACACCGCAATCACCTCTTAACATATAGGAAAATATTATTCGATCGCTCACCTGGGTGTAGCCCGGTGAGAGTAAAACAGGCTCCAGTTGTGAGCTTGGCCCTGAAAATACAGGATAAAGTCATTGACTTTCAAGCCATTCACAAGGCTCCAGTTGTGAGCTTGTTTGTACATATCCCCAAAGTTCAATGTAAGATAATTTTGCAAAGTAACATTCTTTCTTTTATTGGGGGAAACTCCACAGGCTCAGACAGACATAACTAGCGCGGGCCCTATGCAGCCAACACTTTATCTGTGCATCACACAAAGTGCAACCAAACACTGTATCACATTCTCAGTCTTGTCCATCGGCTCAGACCAAAGATACTTCCACGAAATAATTACTCCATGAATAAAGAACTCCCAAACTCTGTTTGATCGGAAATCAGGGGTCAAAACACATTTCCCCGAGGATAGAACAACACAGCTACTGGAAACAGAAATAAATAAATCTGAGATCTGTGACAAAAGAGAACAAACCGGTGGTAAGGCACAGTGCTCGGGATCGAACTATTTTCTAAACAGCAAAATCTAAGAAAATAGCGGTAGAATCGTAGAAAAGATCACCAAATCGCAGGAATGGGGAATTTTTGATCGATCAGAAAGCGGGAAGAGGAAGTCAAGTGGAGTTTCTTTTTCTAACCAAACAGAAGTGCACTGGAAAACCCGAATCCTGAGTTACAGGAGAAACCGAAGACATTCCCGTGAAACGTAAGAAAACAAACAAGCGGATCATGTAACAAAATCGAAATTTCTCTGAACCATTTACCGCTGCCAAGGAAGGCCTAACAAAAGCCGTAGATAGGGAAAGGCATTGTGGGAAAAACAATCCTATTTTCTCGGGAAACGAGGCAATTGCTGGGAAAAGACATACCTCCGACGTTCCCTCAAGAATCGACGAAGAAATTGGGACAGGAGGAATAGATCTAAGGAAAGCAAACGGACGAGATGGACCCAACCCCCAAATGCAGTCGATCCGAAGCAGGAAAAGGAACAAATCCAACGCGCCTTCTGGGAAACCAAGAGGCTTCTTGCAAGCTGCAACTCTTGACGAAACGAGAGAGAGAGAGATCAACCCGGGAATTTTCAGTTTGGGTTCGGACGAGTAATAATGATGGGATGGGCTGTGGGTTTCACATTGGGGGCCCAAAAAGGGCCCATTAGAATTATTTCGTGATAGTGAAAGCAAATCTATACATGGGAAAGGATGACCCCATCCCCATTCATCGAATTCCAAATTTTGTCGTCTTTTTGCATTGTGTATACAGTACGTATGTGAAGGACTTGAACCACATCTTACTCTAAAACATGAAATCGTTTATCTTCTTATGATTTTTGGCTGGGAGTGTTGGGTTTGGTTTGAAATTTTTTTACTCATTATACCAAACTAAGTCGAATGTTAATCGGTTCGATTCGGAACAATTTTATTATACAAATATCAATCAAGAACCAGTGAGTTAGATTTTAGTTTCGTTTATAAACACCAAACATGAATCAAAAGGGGAGGCAGGTGAGCTGATATGGGTGGTGGTGGTGTGGTGAGTTTGACCAACCCCTCCAACTCCAACCTTTTGACTTTCTTGCCTTGGAGTTTTGCATCTGTCCACTTTTGATTATATTATACCACATAGTACATACCATATAAGATAGATTAATTTCCCATCTCATTTCACCCTCGTACAAAAAACATGATTGGTCAGAGAGCTTTTGTTAAAACAGAGGTGGAGTTTTTTTTATTTAAATGCGATAATACATACCATTAGAACAAATGAATTCCACAAGTGTTGAAAGAAATTTGTTAGGGGGGAATAAATGAAGGGTGGGTTTCATATGTAATGTATAGAAGAAAAGCCCTTATCCATCAGACACACTAACTAACAAAACCTAACCCCACTTCCCCCTTCCCCCTTCAACCATCTCCTTTATTCCCCCCATTGGTTAATTACAGGTTAATGCTCCACCTAATCTCTCCCTTAATTCCCTCTTTGTTTCATTATATTCTCCACGTTTCCTCTCTATATATTAACCCCAACTCTCTCTTCTCATCTCATAATTCCAAGTTTCGAACCTGTTCTCAACATAACTCGGCGGTTCTCTCGCCCATTTCCATGGAAAAATTCTGGAATCTTACGCTACTTCTCTCCGTTTTGACCTCCATTACGGTATACTCAACAGCTGAGAGATGCTCAAGCTACCAGTTCTCGAGCAACCGTGCGTTCGAGTCGTGTAATGAGCTCCCTGTTCTGGATTCATTCCTCCACTACAACTACGACGCTTCGTCCGGAATTATGGAGTTGGCTTACAGGAGGACGAAGGTGACGACGGGGAGATGGGTTGCATGGGCAGTGAACCCGACGTCCACAGGCATGGTGGGCTCTCAGGCCATCGTGGCTTACCCTCTGCCCGACGGCACAGTCAGGGTCTACACCTCCCCCATCAGAAGCTACCAGACCACCATGCAGGAGGGTGATCTCAGTTTCAACGTCTCTGGGCTGTCGGCCACTTACCAGGACAACGAGATTGTCATATTCGCGAGTCTGCAGCTTCCCGGTGGAACGATCAATACGGTGTGGCAAGATGGGACTGTGTCGGGGAACACTCCTCAGCCTCATTCCACATCTGGGGATAATGTCCGGTCCATCTCCACCATCAATCTCATCTCCGGCGTGTCTGGAGCCGTGGGAGGAGGGGGTTCGAAGCTCCGGAAGCGTAACGTGAGTTTTTTCGGCTTTGCGTTTTCATATTCTTGTGTTAGCAAGGGGGAGGTCTAAAAAAGCGAATAAAAATGACAGATACACGGGGTGCTGAACGGGGTGAGTTGGGGGATAATGATGCCAATGGGGGCCATAATCGCTCGGTACATGAGAGTGTTCGAAGCAGCGGAGCCAGCGTGGTTCTACCTCCACGCTTTCTGCCAAGCATCAGCATACATAATAGGAGTAGCAGGCTGGGCCACCGGCCTTCAACTCGGAGCTGAATCAGCCGGCATCCGATATGACACCCATCGAGCCATCGGGATCACACTCTTCTCTCTGGCAACTCTCCAGGTATACTTGATTATTCTGGGCCTACATTTTTAACGCAGCATCAGAGAAAGAAAGTGTCGTGTCATAATAAACGTGGAAACGACAGGCGTTTGCGTTGTTTCTGAGGCCGAGACCGGAGCACAAGCAGAGGAAGTACTGGAACATATACCACCACACGTTAGGGTATGGGATAATAGTACTGGGAGTGGTGAACGTTTTCAAAGGGCTCGGCATATTGAGCCCGACAAGGCAGTGGAGGGACTCTTACATCGGGATAGTGGTGGCGCTTGCCATCCTCGCCCTCCTCCTCGAAGCTTTCACTTGGTATCTCGTCCTTAAGAGAAGGCGGCTCCAGCAGCATTCCTCCAAATCCTCTTCCCGCCCAGACGCCGGTCCTCGTCCCTTTCCTTAGCCATTCTCCCTTTTTTTTTTTTTTCCTTTTTGCAAAATATGGACCGTATGGTATGGTGTTTATGGATTTCTCGCCTTTCTTGGGCTGAGTTTTTTTTTTTCCGTTTTAATTTTTCACCCTTTATTTATTACATCCACTTTCACAGGGAAACCTATCAAAATATACTCTCTCGCATCTCAGAAGACAGTCCATGCATAACTGCAATATATTTCAACAAAAAAAAAACCCTAATCTTTAAGAGCTGTAAATATCTGTCAGGAATACAATCCAATCTGAATAAAACGTTTTAATAGAGATGTGTAAAACGCATATGAACAGACGCAGTCATGGGACGAGTTCAAACGTTAACGTATTATAGCAAAGATACTAACGGCGTGTACACGTGAACGTATATATATATATAATCCCAAAAACCAGTCCAGATTTCTTTAGTGGGAGAAAGAGAGTAGTGTACCTAACGACATTATCTGATGCTCCAAAAAAAAATTGTCTTACGGAGATTACAGAGAAAGCAAAGAGCCCCTTGTTCTTGGCCGCGTGGTCATGCAAGTTCTCGCGGCTCAAGCGCTGTGATTTCTCTAGCCACCTGAGCTTTGTCCGCCTCAAACCTCTCGTCCTCTGCCACCAAATCAAAACACACGATAATCATGTAACATACATGTATATGCACAAAGGGCTACGATCAGAAACCAAAACGCCATTTGTCTCCTCATAACTCAACTTTCTACTTCTCTATATCGGGTGGGAAGTTACAGTCTCTGCAATCGAGGGAAAAATAATCGGGAGCTACATTAGCTTCTGTACTTTCTTTTAAACGTCCTTTCATTCATATGGACAGGGTGATCGCAAACCAACCCGTAGCCTTTTGGTTTTACCAACAAGGAGAACTCTTGTCACCTTAATTATGTTTTCACTGGGCTACTGAGGATTTCATCTTTTCCTTGAGTTAAAAAGGCTAGGGACAATTTGCATAGTTTGTACATTTTTTTGGTGATATTTCTTGAATGGGTGACAATGCTCGCATAACAAACGTTCCATACCTTTGTCAGGCTTGAAATCAGCCAGCAGTCGCAGAAGCTTGCTTCTGTTTGCCACAAGAATGTTGATGATATCTGGGGGCTTGTTTTGGTTCGCTGCAAATAGCTGTACAAATGTAATAACATCAGGTAATCTTGGACAACATCGGAAGTTTTTTCATTTTTAAAGCTTGGTTAGAATGACCGTTGGCCAATATAACCACATTGAATTACAAGCACAACTGTTGGCCAGCTATTGGCAATTATGTTTCAGCATGTAAGTGGTTGACAATTGATTAGCTTCATTCACAGAAGATAATTAGATATCACAAGAAACAAGATAGATACCTTGAAGACATGAAAAGCTTCAATCTGGATGCTCTTGCTAGACTCCTGAAAATCAGTGTTTCATTCACAGGCTCGAGTTTAGTCCAAACATCAATAAAGTCCTCTGTTGGCAGAATCAGAACGTCAAGAAGAAAAATTTCAGGGAGCAAGTAACGCATCATACTCTAAGAAGATTCATGAGAATCCTTAAGTTATCCCTTGAGCTCACATATTTCGTCATCACTGCTGAATTTGATCGATCCAGTAATATATCACCCAACAACTGTCACAATTAATACAATACCATACATACATCAGTCTATATGTTGGCATATATGCATTTCATGTTTTTGATAAGCTATATAACCTTCTATAAATTAATCTACCTTAACAGCCTGCCGCCTGGTAATATAATTACTGGATTCGAGAAGCTTTGAGTTATACTCGGCAAAGAACTGAAAACAAAATGATAAGTGAAATTCAGGCGTTCAGCAAAACGTGAAAACACGCATCCAAGTAAAATTGGGGAGCTATATGAACTTACCCAAACAAAACACTGGTAACTTAGTAAGAGAGGACTTACCCAATCGTAATTCTCAGCGAGAAACTCAGCAACAGTAGACTTGTGCCTTGTCAAGAGTTCCTGCAAAAAATTTACACAGAATTACAATAATGTTTAACTGTGGCAGATAGGAATCAGGATGAGAAGATCTAAATAGTAATTCAAGTAGAATCTAAACATTGTTCCCGTGTTCCACAACCTTAAAGGTTGCAGCAGCGTCTGCAGCAATATCAAAATTGGGGAGCTGTATGAAATCAAAAAACTTCTGCATGTGCTGTGACTCCAAAACATATCTGAACCCAAAAAAGAGAATGCTTTTCAATATTGTGTCCATTAAAAAACTACGAAATACAGTAGCTATTGTACTTAAGCTAGCTATTGTATATAACTTAAGTAGCATACTGTCATTAATTCTATATAGACAACAACAACAATTGTGTAGATTGTTTTCTGTAGCCACAGTAATATGGTTTCTGCTCACTTTGCAACAGTCTGGTGGCGGATGCACTCCCTCAACATAGCACCATAATGTAAAGCCATATCTGTATTCTCATAGCTGAGACAACACAAACAGATGACCACAGAAAAGACAAATAATTAAGAAGCATCTCGACATGAAAACTTGACTTCTGAGACCGTTGATTAAATGCCTGCAGTGACTTGCTTAATATGACCCCTTCACCAAACTCACCCCTCTATTAGAATATCCATAAGATCAATGTTGGCTTCCAGATAATCAGATGCAATCAGCCTTGAATTGACTTGTTGCCTCTGTAAATTTGCAACAACTTGTGTAGCATCTTTTCTGGCCTAAAAGGGCAATTCCAGATCTGGATGAGTATGAAGCCGAGAAGACTAGAAACATATCTGGCCGTTCTGTCCTAAACTTGGTATCCAAAAGTTAACTCCTTAATCAAGATTACCTCCAAGTTGAGTTTTGGAAGACATCTAATTAGGAGGCGAAGAGTATTTTCCTTGAAGAATTCCTGAGTCAACTGGGCACAAGCTTCCGTGACAGGCTCAGCTTCACTGTTTCCATATAGAATTGACTTCATCTCCCGGATATTCTTGCTTAGTTCCGCCATCTGCAACCAATACCAGCCTCATAGTGAAACCCAGAACCCAGGACCAAAGTTGTTATGAATAATATACAGATTAAACATATCATCCGACAACTACGTACGAAGGAAAATTACATCATACTAGCGAATAAACTATCCGACAATTGCTCAACTGAACAGAAGTAAGGAAAGCTACAGAGGGATAGTTTTCATTCCACAAACTGATTTTTTAAGAAACGGATAATTTTCGGTCATCCTGGTTCCGTCCATACAAAAAAGTTTGAGAACGAATGGGAATCGGAATCGGAATCAGAACTCAGAAAAAAATGGTTTGAGGAGTAAAACAGATGAATTCTCAAATTCGTTAGGGATCAAACGGAAGCGAAAAGCACGTTGAGCGATCAACCCCTGAATCAGATCGGCAATCAGCGAGTGGACAAGGGGATTAAGACGAAAGAAAAACGAATCCAGACCTTATCCTCTCGCTTGGATTCTCGGAGTTCAGGCAGGGAGTCGGCTCGATCAGCGTAGAGGAGGAGATCGCGAGTCTGGCGAGCGATATCGGCCGGAGAGCGAGGCTTCGATTTGAAGAGGGCCTTCATCTTGGCTCCGCCGACGACGTCAGAGTGATCGGTGCCTTCGCCGAAGGATCCGCCTCCGCTTCCGCTACTGCCGCCGAGGTGCTGCGACGAGAGCCTCTTAACCGACTTAACGGAGGCCCCGCGCCCAGCACCTCCCTTTGATAAACACCCCCCTATCCTCCCCTCCTTATCTTTCTCCCCGTGGAAATTCGAATACCAGAAGCCCCCTCTCTCCCTCTCTCGATCTCTATATCTCCTTGGGTTTCTTCTCCATTACCTTTCTTGTCTTTTAGAATGCTGAGATCTCTCCTCTCTATGTTTCCCCCTGAATTTCAGCTGAAGCTTAAATCCCGTAACAAGTAACCACCTCTCTCGCCTTCCTCGGGATCTCGTAGTCGTGGATTTCGGCCGATGATGAAAACGGTATTTATTTTCACAGGGCCCAACTAGTTATATATGGCGAACAAACATTAATTTTATATTTTCTTACCCAAACTTTTCAATTCTCTTTAAAAAAAAAACTAAACTCTATTTTTTATCAAATAGAACCAAACTTTATAAATGTTAATTTTTTTAAACCTAGTATCCGATATCATACACATCGATTTGTGATTTGAATTTTGATTGAGTCTACATGTCATCATCCATATTATCATTTATGTTCGGATTTTATTTAAAAAAACAAAGTTTTAGTTTAAGAAAAAAAGAATTGAAAATTAAAATATTTTTTTTTGTGATTTTCTCTTTTTTTTTTTTGTCTTTTCGAGGAAGAATACCCGACCCACATCATCGTATAACCACTGTTCTGACGAGAATAATAAAAAATCTGGTTAAATGGTGTGATATGCTATTTGTGTTTAGGGTGGTTGGATAATCATTTTATATATATATATATATATGTATATGTAAGTATAATGTGGGGACATGGCCAGAAAGGTGATACAGTTTCCTTCACAGGTTGAACGTTAGGATGCCAAGCTTCGAAAGTGACCAGACATCCACAACGTCACACTTGGCATGCTTCCTTTTTTCTCATCATGATTCGAGAAATTTTCACAATATAAATATTTTTATAAGCATCAAATACGGATATTACAAATTGAAAGGTCGAAAAAGGAAAAAAAAAATGGACTAACCCTCGCATTTGATATACCGTACAAAATATTTACCACAATTAAGATTACGTATACAGGCAGGAGTCAGGACCCGTCCTCCACAAAACTTGTTACACTCCTCCGTTGGCTCCGAACACATAAGCCCCTGCGCCACATCCCAAAACCGATTTTATTTAACTTGCACATATTATATTGAGAAAATCCCAAAAATATCCATACTTTTCAATTTTTATTAAAATAAAATCTAAATTTTATTTATTTTTATTAAATACAACATCAATTTTATTTTTTAGTAAAAAATAAATCTAAATTTTATAATTTTTGTGATTTTTAAATCTAAGGAGGGAGAGTGGAGGGTTACCGAGAGTGGGCATGAGGAGAGAGAGGGAGAGGGTGCCAGCGATCTTGAGGGGGAACCCTGTCTTGAGCATGTCCTTTATCTCTATCTTGCCAGTCGTGAACCCAACTATGTTGGAAGGTGTCCCTGTCGGCAGGAGGAAGGCGAACTGGGCACCGATGGCACCAGGCACCATTAGCAGCAGAGGCTCCACTCCCATGGTTTTCGCTATCTCTATCAGCAGTGGCACCAGCAGCGTCGTGGTCGCGTTGTTCGACGTGAACTCTGTGATGCCGGCGGCTATCGCGCACACCGTTGGGGCTATTGCCCAGTAAGGTGCCGTTTCTAGGAATTGGAGGCCCTTGGATAGGACGCCGGCCAGGCCGCTCGTACGGACTCCTTCCGCGATGGCGAAACCGGCGCCTAGGAGGAGAACTATGTTCCACGGGAGTTTCTTGCACTTGTTCCAGTCCATTAGTCTCTCCCCTTTCCCTTTCTTGTTTGGGATGATGAACAGCAGGGTCGCCATCATCACCTTCACAAATTCATTTACATTCATTTTCTCAACCTACATGCATGGTCATATGGTAGAGAAGAAGAACAAGAAGGAGGAGATCTTACACTGACGGTGCCGTCGCCTGCACGGCCGTGGAAGAGGGCTCCCCACCCTGGAATATCATCCGTGATGCTCCTCGTCATCCACAAGACTATTAACCCCTGCACCATTCGTTCATTTCGTTTATGTTTATGACGAGCCATTATTTTGAAATCCACCATTACCCATTTGGTTCCGTACCCCGAACACGGCCAGGACCATCTTCTCAGCAAACGCCATGGGCCCTGTTCCACACCACCATCCGATCAAAACTAATAAAGATACGGGAATAGGCTACCAAAAGTGGGGGGTTACCTTACCTAACAAGTCGAGCTCGCGCTTGAGATGGGAGCGGTCCAGGTAAGAGGAAAGAGAGCGCCCGGAGCCCTTGGGACAGTAGAGGATGCAGAGAATGGCCCACAGAGCGAAGAAGAGGGAGAGGGCCAATGGGAAACCGAAGAAGAACCACTGGCTGAAGCTGATGGGATCAGCCAACGGGAAATAGGACTTCCACATCCCTACCAGTATGAGGTTGACACCTGTCCCAGTGAGGGTGCTCATCCCTCCAACGGCGGCGGAGTATATGACACCCAGCACCACCGCCCTGCTGAATTTCCCCTCCGCCGACTCCTCCGAACAATTCTCCGGCAGCCTCTGCAGTATGCCTGTTGCCACCGGCATCATCATGACCGCCGCCGCCACATTGTGCATCCACATGCTCACGAACGCCGTCGTCCCGCATATTCCCAGCAGCAGCAGCGGCGCGTTCAGCGGCTCCACGCAGAATACCAGCGTTATCTGAACAACACCAAATTAACTCATCATCTACCCACAAAAGTACACATGTATCACCGTGAGCAGAAAGTTGCAGTGAACGGACGTTGAGGGCGAGACGGCGGTGGATGTTGTAGTGCTCGACGGCTAGAGCGAGGATGAAACTGCCGAGGACGAGGGAGATGACGTCATCCATGTAGGAACGAGCCACGTCGTCGGCGGAGGCGATGCCGAAGAGAGGGAAGAGGAAGAGAGGGGACATGGAGGTGACGGGCATCGGCACAGCCTCCGTGAGCCACCAGGCGAACATCCAAGCCAGCACACCCAGCATCTTCCTGGCGCCATCTCCCTCTCCCTCTCCGCCGATCCTTACATAGAAGCAGAATACTCCGCATAGAAGCGGCCCCAGGGCTATGTAGCAGTTCTTGGCCGTCAATATCGACCTCACAACGCTCGGCCGTTGGATCTGGATGTCACCGGAGCTCTGGATGGGAAGCAGCGCCGATTTTAGACCGTCCGATTCGCCGACGGCCCCGTGATCGCCGTTCATTCTCTCTCCCTCTTTGTCTGATACTTTTTTTTTTCAAGGGGGTGGTGGGAGGATGAATGAAATAAGCGGAAATGATACGGAGGCGGCTTATATAAATTTCAATTCAAATAGTGATTTTTTTTCCTAATTACGGTGGTAGAGTTAATTTATGCGAGCCTTACTATTTACATACCGACGGCAAAGACAATTTGATGACGATATATATATATATATATACAGCCATGCGTGGTCCTTATTTATCGAAAAACTTAATATATATATTATATTCCATAATTATGGTGTGTTGAATGAGATTCATGTACTTTGTATTTTTTTTGTTTTCTATATTCTTAATTGTATCGGTGTGTGTGTGGGGACAGAGATTCGATCCAGATACGGTTGTGTGTTGGACAATCAAACATGTAAACCTATTACGTGGGCCTAACTTCGGTCGTAGTCTCGTATTTACCTCTGCCCCGCCACATATGCTCACATACCAATCAATTCTATTTTTTAAAAAATTTAAAATAATGAAATGACATATTATTGAGTGGATAATCAAATTGGCCCTGCTATATTATATGACTTCTCGGGTTCTCTAAAACGCACCTAAAAATGAATGTTTTTGGAATGAAAATGATTCCATGGATTTTTTTTTAAAAAAAAATCAAAGATAGGACACTGCAGATTAGGATGACAAGTAATTAGACACCATAAAACAATTCTCATACGCGACATCAAACAGGACATGTATCAAACTGAGTCCTCTCCCTCGTCTTCTACGTATGACATCATGTTTACTTGATTTTATAACATTAATGGTTTCTGTGGATACTACTTTAAAAAAAAAATTAAACTATTGATATAATATTAATAAAAAAAATACCCTGTAAGCAAAGTTTTGATATTAAAAGAAAACCCCATTGATGATATTATGAAATAGAGCACCTTTGGCGCTATCCAGACCACACAGTTGGGCGAATCAGGGAATCACATGTTAATGTGCGCCCTTTGGCGATATCCATCCCATACCACATCTTAAAACTCAAAACAACTGATTTTGTAGAGATATTTATGCTTCTTTTCTCCTGCAACGAAAAACCAATATTCAAAATATACGATTATATCGCACATAGAATATAGATATGTATGTAATGATCAATAAAAAAAAAATCATTTGTCGCAGGAGGTCCGATCAATTGGGAGGAGGAGGGCCAATAGGAGGATGACACGAAGCCAATCCACCAAGTTAAGATCAATCATTACACTCATTGTAAGACATCCCATGATAGGATTGCTGTTGTGACCTGTTAAATTGTTAATCATCTTCTTAGAACCTTAAATTATTATTAATTTTTTTAATAATAGAATGTTTTTAATTTATAAGTTACATTCCGTTCCGGTGAGGTGGAAACACGTATGGGGGACCTGTCCCCACTAAAACTCATCAAGTTTACGAGGTAAAATTATTTTATTATTCTAAGTTATAAAGTCGTCGTCACGCAAACAGTTAGTCTGGATCAGAACCGTATCGAAATTCGACATCTACATGATGCGGTCTATCTACTGAATTTTCTCTTACATACGCTTTGGACCAATAATAATAAAGAATAATCCACTGAATTCATTTCAGAAATGGCGCTGAAAAAAAAATTCTGAAAACTTGGAGAATATAAAAGAAAAATGCTTATTTCCGAAACTTAGGGCAAACAAAAATCTGAAGCGAACTCATAGATCTAGGAGCACGGCAGCAAATCGTGAGTTGTGGGAATCCAATGCATAGTAATAGTAGTACGATGCAGAAGCAATGTGCGATACGTATCTTCTCTTCTGAGACCGGCGGCAGAAGAAACAAACAAAGAAGAGCACACAGAGTTTGGAAATGGGATGACAAGGAAAGGAAAGACCCTTTTATTCTTCGTCTATATATATGTTCAAAGCACAAGTCTTCATTGTGAGGGAGATGCTTCTAAGGCTCTCCACCCAGCTCAACCCTCAGGTTGTCATACGGGTAAACTTTCGGTGTCTGCATCGCCATAGACAGACAGAAGCCAATGAGTCAGTCCGTTTAATTTAAAACACACACACATCTTTGTCCCTAGAGCAATCTTTTAGGTCAATCCTTTATTGCTTAGTGGGCTGATCCGGGACGAACGAGGATTAGTCTGAATGTGCAAAGATTAAAGGTTCCACTTCACACTTGAACGTCATTCAAGACACCTCATGTTCTATAAAAAAAAACACACACACACACACACATCCAAAACACTAACAATTGCTAATTAATACTACAGCTGACATAACTATCCACAAAAGCATCAATATCGGCCACCAATTAGTCGGAGGCTGCATGACTTATACCATACTGTACAGGTCAATCTGTGTTTTTTTTGGTTTGAAGGACATATACAAATTTGGCATCCAATTAACTGGTGTATGCCCAATCAAACCTCTGTTTTGTTTCAGGTTTAGGGTAAACTATATATACTCCACGCTTAGCAATAACCATGTTTAGCTGCTGGGGCAGCGTCATGTTTCCCTCCATGCATACACAGCTAGCCTAGCATTTATGCCCTACTTTGTTCAACAAATTAAGACTGTTTGATGGTCTAATCTTTTGTGATTCCTAAGCTTAATGCAGAATGTATCATAATCTGCTTGCAGTCAGAAAATCTTTGAAACGCAAGTTGACTTACGAATGGAATCTTGGAAGCCTTGTCGTTCCACACAGCGGCCAGACCCAGAGTGGCAAAGAACCCTAGACCTCCACACAACCATCCCAATGCTTCATACTGCTCAACCAATTGCCGCTATGATTCTAATTCTCCGAAACACACAAGAAAGCGCGCAAAGAATAAAACCGTACCTTTCCGACGGTATCAGCAATCCGATCAACGCAAGGTTCAGGGAAGGCGGTGCCGTTGTCCCAGACAAGTTCGTCGTTAACCGGAAGCTGAACAAAGATGAAGAAAAACGAGAATCCAGATGTAGATCAGAGGTATTCTAGTATCGATACAAAAAATCGAGGGAATCAATGATTGATAGAAACTGACGGGCTTGTCGGGGACGATGTGTTTGCCGACGGGGAGGCCCATTCCGGCTCGTAGGCGAATAGAAGAACCGACGGATCGGGCGATAACGCCGTTTCCGCCCATGATCCGTGACGCTACGCCGCTCAATCTTCCTGCCATACCTTCCCCTTTCTCTCCTCTTCCTTTCGGAGATCTCGATTAAGGAGAGGCAACCAGTCTACCGAACGACGTCGTATACGGAGCAGAAGCCTCCGAGTCACCGAGAGGTTCTAAACAATCATGCGGCTCAACGAATGCTTTGCTTGGAAGAACGATTAATAAATAAAAGCACAAGGAAGGTTTAGGGCTTAATAGCAACTTATTTTCTATTTTGCCATAATTTAGCCGCCAATCGCCATATCCTCGTAATTAAAAGGGACAAGCAAACCAAACCCAATAAATAAAAAAAATAATAATATCTTCATTGTCTGCTTCCGTATCTCTTTTATACCGTTGCTTTACATTTCCAACTTTTCAATAAATCAAAATCCCAATTTTTTTTTTTTTTCTGTTTTCGTTTTCTTATAGAAGAAACAATGAAAGTTTTAAAACTCAAAAAAGCTCATAACAAACGAATTTCCTCTCTAAAATCTTCTCTGCGACCACCAAATTCACTGCAGCCCCTGCAACATATACATACACATACACACATATATATATCACATATCAAATACAAACTATTTCTTTTGCATCAAGGAAGAAGAGAATAACGTGCCTGCGTTTGGTAGCATTGCTGTTGCTGGTCAAACGGCACCAGCCGATGCAAGACCCTGTCCTCTCCGCATAACCCCCGATGGTCCCATCCCAAACCCAAACCCAAACCCAAGCTCAAACGCACTCACACCACCTTCTTCAACCATAGAGCTGTAATCCCCAAGGGGAACCCCATTGCTGGAGCTGGTTTCTAATCCTACACCATTGTTTCCACCATATCCATTGCTATTATATTCCAGGTTTCTGCTGCCCGAACGAGCTGTTGTTCCCCAGTTCTCACCAATGCTGCCCACCAACGGCTTTCCCGAGTTCCCATTTAAACCGTAACCGAGACCCCAGATATGATTTCTCTTTGCTGGGTTTAGGACCTCACCGTTCCCTCCAGCACACTCACCAGGACTTCCATACCTGCCAATACTTGCTGAGTATGCAGGGTTATATGGCCGTCCAAAGCCTCCATTGGAAACAGGAGCATAATTTTGATTAGGGTTTGCCTCAAAATTCAACTCGATCCCGTACCCGTGGCCAAAAGGAGAGAACCCAGCCCTATTAACTGGTGCTGGACTGTATCGACCTTCAGGTTTTACCCCATATCCAATGATTGGATTAAATCCTTGAGCATACTCATTGAGCAGCATACTGATTCTACTGCTGCCCAAGTTATTTACATTCATTTGGTTCCTGTTAGGGCTAGGTGACATTTCCTTAGGAACAGCCAGTTTGACCTCGACCATCTTACCATTAAGCTCATGGAATGCCCTCTGCAGCACTTTATCCACAGCATCCTCCGAATCATATGTGATGAACCCAAAGCCTCTTGGACGCTGAGTTCTGTGGTCATACATCACTACGACATCCGTGATTGTCCCGAACTGAGCAAAGTATTTCTTGAAGTCTGCCTCTGTCACGGATGAGGCTAAGCCTCCTACGAATATCTTTTTGGTGTTTGCTGGGCCTGGCGATCCTTGTACGCTGCTGTTGCTTTTGTTCAAGATTGTGTGTTCATCTCTTGGAACTGCCTTCTTCGCCTCAACCTACAAACACAGAGAAATCACTAGAATCAACGAAACTTGACAAATATAAATTAGAATCAGCTTAAGTTGCATCTCAAATCTTCAACAAGAAAGTATAATTAATCTGATTCAGGATCACTCCAATGACAAGGAGAAAAGTTTATAGCGGCCCGCTTTCTTCTCCTCGGACCTAAAGACATTGCCGAAATCATGATGAGAGATGAACCAGACAATTGAGCAACCGTGACAGCTGGTGAAACTGCAGAATAACAGCCACCAGCCGAGACCAAGCACTGGATAGTGATCTTACATAATAAAACGACCAAACTAAGAAATCTAGACTTGGGTTTAACAAAGGAGCTTGACTTCCAAGCTGACTATGATACTTTTGTGAAAGATGGCAACATTAGCAGCGATGTTTCTCAGAATGTCCTCTCTTTCGTTTTCTTTAATGCTTGGTTACATTGAATATGATATTGTAACCAATAATATGTCCTAAAACCGAAATACCTAAAGAAAGAGACTTTGCTTTCAGGAGCAGCAACCTCTAGATGAAGCAACTGGAGGATAGGACAATGATCATTGAAAAAAAATCAGAAATCCATAGGATAAGATTGGACATTCCAAGGGTTAAGAGAGATTGAACTTACAGTTTTACCATTAATCATGTGCTTCTGCAAGACAACTCTCTCAGCAATATTTGGGTCTGCGAAAACAACGAAGCCGAATCCACGGGCACGACCAGTGGCTCGATCCTTCATGATCACCGCTTCTAAAACCTCACCAAAATTCTGAAAATACTCACGGAGACGATCTTCATTTGTCTCCCAAGATATCCCACCGATGAATAGCTTACATGAATCCATTTCCATTCTGTAAATGACTCCAAGTTAGGAAGTAACTAACAGGTTTTAGTACAAGTACATGGATGTATATATGCAGTTCATGGATTCTCGTTCATAAAAAAAAAAAACAATCACCGTCTCGATCTAACTGAAAACATCGCATATCAAGAATCAAATCCAAAGGCATGTTCGAATAAATCATTAGACAGAACATCATAATGCTGATGAAACGAATCTAACAGACCTTGTAAGAAAAAAATTCGGGAGCTTCGGCGGCTGTATCTATGAATAAGAAGACCTGGATCGTGATGGGATTCCGCGAATCGATCAGGCGACCGATCGACCCACGATCCTGGAATCCTGGAGAGAAACAAAGCAAGGCGAAACAACAGCCGGAGTCGATCAACAAGAAATGGAATGAGACAAAAATCAGAAGAGGGAAGATCAAAGAGAATACATACCAGATTAAAGAAACCCAGGTGAGGAAAGTGATATTGAAATCTAAGATTCGAGAGGAAACATTAATAAGAGGGCGAGAGGCCCACCTTTTCCTCTCTCGATCTCTGCGATGGCCTCTCTCTCTCTCTTAAAAAATTTTCCAATATAATTACTGTTTTTATTTTGGGATGGAGCAAAATAGCCGTATGTATGAAATGGATGGATTTTGTGCAGCAGAACAGAAGAGATGGAAGGGAAAAGGAATCGAGATGTTCGTACGTTTGTTTTATTACGTGGAATGTTTGGCTGTCGTCTCTCCCGTCTAGAGAGCCGATGGCAGTCTTGTAATTCTCTGCACATTTTTATGTAATAAAACGAACCTTTGCATAAACACGCCATTTTCATATACATTTTCTTTTATATATATATATATATATCTCAATTATCGGGCATCATCATTGTCTATCGTCATTATATATGAAATTTTATAAACATGTGTGATAACCACAGGAATAATTTAAACTTTTTATTATTATTATTAATTCCACCAAAAATTCGAAAAGCTGGGGGAATCAAGTGCACATGGGATGGGGATGGTTCATCAAATATTCAATTACAATATAAGATTACTAGTATTACATATAATTAAACTTTCTAAATATTAAAATTAAGGTTAATACATAATGGACAGAAGGGATTGCTTGTGCAATCACATGATATGTACCACCCATTTATGCACACTTGTATTCATTTGTCATGTCCGTTTAATTACAATTTGATACAATTATTATTATTATTATTATTATTATTATTATTATTGGTTTCTGTGGACCAAACAAAAGTTTCTGTCATTTGTCATACGACACGAGGGTATGTTAGGGATTTGACCAGAAAAGCTGATGCCTAAATATAGCAAGTTTGGTTTGGTTGCTTTTTTGTACGGAACAATTTCAGTTTCCCCGATAATTTGTTGGTCCAAAATATGACAGTAGGCCCATGAAAAGGCCCATTAAGAACATTGGGCGCAATTTGAAATAAAGAGGGGGCCCCACACTGTCCGAATAACGACGTAAATTCCCTCCGCTTTCTCTCTCTCCCCAAATTCAAATCACCGAGTCCCACAATTCATTTCTTCAGTTTCATCTTGTGGTCGGAATCGGAAGGAAGGAATTATCCGCTTCCCGACCAGAAAATGGCATACCGTTACAATTCGTACGACTCTCGATCATCTACAACCTCTTCAATCCACTCCGATCCATCTTCCTCCTCCGAGTTCAAGCCAAACAAGCCGTCTTCCTCGCGTGCCATCGTCAAATCCAAACCTTCCGTCTTAACTACAACAGCTAAAGCCGTCAAGGCCGATAATCCTGGAAATATCACGTCCATGGTGAAGAAGCTGATGGAGATTAAGAAATCTAATCCCAAGAACAAGATCATAATCCCATCTGATGCGATAGCGGTGGATCTGAAGAGAACGGCGAGGGAAACAGTAGGAGGCAGAAACGGCTTCGGCGCATTCCAGAGGAAGCTGTTCGGAAAAACGGAGAAGGTGAAGAAGGAGGGGAAGGCGTTGACGGAGGCCAAGGGGAACACGAGGACTCTGGCTATGGTCCTGAGAAGCGAGAGGGAGCTCCTGAACACGAACAAGGAGCACGAGATCCAGGTGGCCGAGCTAAAGCTGCAGCTTGAAGAGAAGAACCGTGAGGTGACTTTTTTTTCCCCTTTTATGAACTTTCAGCTCTGTCTAGGGTTTGTTTGTGCTGAATATGATATTATGCCCCATGGATCTGTGGAACAAAGCCAATCCTGATTATATCTCAGTGAATTTTCTCACATTCTTGATTATATGTATGGGTCATGAAGTTACATAATAGATGGTCCGCCCAACTAGAAAACGAGTTTATATCCGTTGTATGTTTGATTTGGAATTATCATCAATGACTTTCTAAATTCAGTAATTTTCCTTTAACCTTTGATTATGTGGATGGTCCTTGCAAGTAGAAAAATGTCAATGGATGAGCGAGATTTTCTACTTGCAAAAATATGTTGTTACTCTGTTTATGCTTGTTGTATGATAGATACGATGTCATGTTCCGTGAATTGGCCCTGGATTTGGACATTGTAACGGAAACTGTTATGGTGTTGAGGCTGAATGAAATGAAGAATAAAGTGGTAGAAAAACCCTGAAAGTTATTACATGACAAATGTTGGTGGGACTGGGACTTAAATAGTAGAAAGTTTCAAGTTTCATGTGGGGTTTTTGCGCAGGTGGAGAAGTTGAAGGATCTGTGTCTTAAGCAAAGGGAGGAGATAAAATCACTGAAGAGTGCAATTCTGTTTCCGGATGTGATGAACAGTCAGCTTCAAGATCTTCTGGAGAGACAGGGCTCAGAGCTGAAGCAGGCAAGGCAGATCATTCCAAACCTTCAAAAGCAGGTCACTTCCCTCACTGGCCAGCTCCAATGCCTTGCAGAAGACCTTGCTGAGGTACTCTATCTTTGTTTCTTTCGCTCAATTGAGTTAACAGGTTAATGAGTATTGCATCTAAAGCTTCTAAAGTTATGTGGTGCATACACATAGCAGTATAGCTCCACGGTATATAGCTCAGTAGATTTTTATTCTGACCTTAAAGAACTTACTTGCCAGGTGAAGGCAAATAAGTACTCTTCAGGAGCCTGTTACCAACACAGTAGCAACTCCCTAGATCACACATCCTCGTATGATCGCGGGGAGACTTCTGATTCACTGGTAACCCAAACGTACTATAGAATTTCAAGCTATTACTAAGGTTTTATAATGCTGATAGCAATGCTTGTGATGAATGTGGATCAGGACTTCAGCTCAGGTGGCTCGGAAAACCCAGGGAGCCCAGATGGCTTGTCTCTTGAAGATCTGAATCCCTGCCTAACCCCCTATGCCAAGACAAAGTCCAAGGTAGTATTGCCATTCTTAAGTAAAAAAAATGGCAAAAACAGAGAAAGTCCATAAATAGAGAGAATTTCCTTGCAGGGGTTGGAGAAAACGGGATATGAATCACCACCAGAGGAGAGATACTCAGGATCAGGGAGCAGCACCGTAACGACGGCAGATGAAAACAAGTTGAGTTCAAAAAGCAAGAAGCTTTCAAAGAGTTCAGATTGTAGCCATGCCCCCAAACCAATGGCGAAGCCAACTCGTTGGTCAGAGGAGCGCAAAGGTTCGTACAGAAAGCCAATGAGTCACCGACTCTTCTAAGTGCTTCAACTCGACTTTTGTCCATTCTCTGCATGAGTGTACTCCATTTGGTGTGTAGTATCCGCTCTCAAGACTGCTTTATATTTAAAAAAATTAATTCAAGCCATATTGTACGATAACCCCTCTGTTTTAAATGGATGTGGGCTTTTTAGTTTTTACGTGAAGAAGAAGAGCTGGTCTTGTGTGGGAGATGTGGGTTTTTCTCGGTACATGATTTGGAAGAGTCTGAGTGCAATCACCACTTTTTGTCAAGCTTAAGACAAATATGAAATGTTGGGGTGGATGCCGATACTTGAAATCTGCGATTTTTTGGATATCCGTATTCAAAACACGTTACTCGTTATATAACGATGAGACCAAAAATCTGGACTACAGATTTGAGTTCGTATTTTGTTTGAATAGGGCAGTATCCTAGACTATACGGGTATCATATATAAATGACTATTGAATTCAGTGACGGTTGTCCGAACTGAGTACTAAACTTCACAAAAATGAGATGATATTTTTTCAAAAACGACGAAGATGAAGCCCAATATTCCAAAAAAAAATCAGGGTATCCGATAATTAATGTTTTTTTTTACTTTTCACTTTTGGTATTAACTTAGTTTGACGAGGAGGTAATTAGATAGGTCATTATCCAAAATACCCTCTTTATGCTAAAACTACTTCTACACATACCCTTTTCTAGATGTGAATATGTGACCATAATAACTGTATGGTTACATGATGGTCACATTTGACGTTAAATTTATGGTGATCACACCAAGTCACCATGATCACACCTTACATATCACACTAATCATTTGGTGAAATCATCAAAATTTTATCGTTGTAACCAATGTGACCGTCATATGACCATATCGTTATTTTGATCACGTGTCACATTTAGAGGAGGTTATGTGCAGAAATAGTTTTAGCAGGAGAGTATTTTGGATATTTTGCCTAATCTGATATATGAAATTGTGCTTTTATTTATGCATCTAAATCTTTAAAGTTTATACCCTACGCTTCTAAATTCTAATCTTCCCCCTCTGATTTATTTACTTTTTTATCTGCTTTAATGGTTTTGCTCTATGTAAAGTGAGATATGCTAATCATTACATCTAAACTGTTGAATGTTCATCATTCATTACTTCGATTTATGCTCTCATTAAAATATTTAATATTGAGAGAGAGGGAGAGGGAGAGGGTTATTTCTAAATAGGGTAAATTGTAAATATTTAAAATGATGGGGATTAAAGTAATACTTGTATAGATTTGTGGGGCTTTGAAGAGAATATCAACACGTGTGTCTGAGTATGGATGGGCCCGTTTTCTTCTTCCAGGCAACAGAAGAAACGCGGCCTAGGCTTTGTCCACTTCTACGACTTAAATTCCCCCCCTCGTTATTCCCTTTTATTTATGGTAATGCCATCGAAACGCTGTAGGGGCTTTCTCGTCTTCGACCTCCCATGGTTTTTCCCCCCATAGGTCCTGGATAGAGGAGGCACTGCCACGTGTCACCCCTGAACCCACCCACATCACATAGGATCCATATCCCCCAAAATCAGGATAGATGTAATATTATATCATAGGATTCATAATTCATAATATACTACACTATGATATGCAAAAAATTGAAATCTCTCCCAAAGAACTTTTATATACAATGGATTGGATAGTCGTTTTTTTCTCTTGACAATTGAGTATATTCAATTATTGAGAAAAAAAGATTAAATTGAATGAAGTTTTCTTCTTAACCAGAAAATGATTCTTTGGTTGTGGTATTAAGTATGCATTATAAAAAAAAATAACAAACTACCAAGTAATTTATGTAGAAATACTTTATTTTTATGAAATGGATATTGGAAAAAGCTATATATATATATATATAGATAGATAGCTTGGTAGATTCACTCTCTTAAAGGCAATATAAAAATAGTTTGATTCCCTTCCCCATATATATATATAAATGTATATATAGATGGATAGATTCACTCTCCCGGAGGCAAGATAAAAAGAGCTCCATTTGATTTCCCTTCCCAAAGACCCAAAACCACTTTCGGAATTGTGTACTTCAAAAAGTTCATCTTGGACTGTCGTCCAAAAGTCAAAAGGTCAGACTTCGGAGTGGTGTTTACGTAAATAAGCGGAAAGAGAGGGGCCATTTACTCCCGCGATGGTCATCATCAGATTATTTAATTATATTCCGAAGTCACCTCGTATCGGAGGAACAAACTGGGCACCTCACGGAGACGAGATTCTCTCAGATTTTGATTTTCCAGCAGCTGCAATCTCATCTCCGACAAGGGTGCGTTTTTGAATTTTCCTCCTGTTTTTGTTTCTTTTTTCTCCCCTCTTTTGTTGTGTCTGAATCAAATGTTTTTCGTTCTTTCTTCTATCCCCACGAGTTTCGGTGTTCCAATATTCCTTCTTTGTTGGTTTCATCTGATTTTCCGAAGGTTCTGATTCTCTGGTTTGGTTCGGCCATTAGATTTGTGTGTAAGGGACGCTCGTCTTTCTATCCCATGTCCTTTTTGTTTTGGTAATTTTGCTTAGATGCCCAATATTTTGGGTGTATCATTTAGGTTTCTTGCTAAATCTGGTGGCAAAACCCTTATTTAGGATTTCGATTCCCTTCTACATTCACTTATCTTAGTGTTTGTGGTTGTTCTGTGAACTGATGCTCAGTCTTTAGAAAAAGAGAAAAAAAATTAAAAATGAATATGAATTTCATTGTTCGCCTTTGCAATGACTGGGAAACAGGCCCATCGTTCATTGACTAACAGGAGGATAATGGCTGTGGTGCTACGTATTGCTGGCGTTCTTGTCTCATAAGCATCAGACTGAGGCTGGGTTGACCATGTTGTATCCCCAACTCAACTGTTCATCCCAGTTCCAAGTTACGGACAATAACGTGTTTTCCGACAAAGAGACGATCTTCACTCTTGAATCCTCTGGTATTCTTCCTGCATATGATTCGCCCTCAGTGAGTGTCTCGTCTAGCCAGAGCCCTTTCTCTCCACAAGCTTCTATGTCGTGCCTCTCGGATGTACGTCTGTCCCTTGACAACGTGTCTGGATCACCTTTGAGTGGGTCATCTTCTTACACCTACGATGAAGCTGCGTTCAAGAACAAGATTCGAGAACCTGAATTCTCCCTGACTAGTGGTGATCAAAAGTTTCTGACTTGCTGGATTTCAGCCCTGGGGCTACAAATTCTTGGAGCTGGGATGAACTCTTGGCCTTGACCCCACAGTTGGACTTGAAAGAAGTGCTGATCGAGGCTGCTCGGGCGGTCTCAAACGGGGATATTGCTACAGCATTTGGTTGCATTGATGTTTTGGACCAAATGGTATCTGTCTCAGGCGACCCGATCCAACGGTTAGGGGCTTACATGCTTGAAGGGCTGAGGGCAAGGCTCGAAGGCTCCGGAAGTAACATATACAAAGCTCTGAAATGCAAAGAACCGACAGGAAGAGAACTGATGTCTTACATGAGCGTTCTCTATGAAATCTGCCCCTACTGGAAGTTTGCATACGCGTCTGCGAATGCTGCAATCTTGGAAGCTATGGCTGGCGAGCCTAGAATCCACATTATTGATTTCCAGATTGCACAAGGAACACAGTACGTGTTTCTCATCCAGGAACTGGCGAAACGGCCAGGAGGACCACCGTTGCTATGTCTGACAGGTCTGGACGATTCACAGTCCAATTATGCATGTGGTGGAGGGCTCAGCTTGGTGGGCGAGAAGCTGTCAAGGGTTGCGGAGTCATGTGGAGTGCCATTTGAGTTCCAAGATGGGATCGTGTCTGGGTGCGAGGTTCAACGAGGACATCATCTTGAGATCAAACCCGGGTTCGCCATTGCTGTGAATTTTCCGTATGTGCTGCACCACATGCCTGACGAAAGCGTGAGCATTCACAATCACAGAGACAGAGTATTACAGCTAGTGAAGAGCCTCTCTCCGAAAATAGTAACACTGATAGAGCAAGAGTTGAATACAAACACATTGCCATTTCTATCGCGGTTTGTGGAGACAATGGATTAACTACACAGCGATGTTCGAGTCGATAGATGCGGGGAGGCGGCCACGGGAAGATAAAGAGAGGATAAGAGCGGAGGAACAGTGCGTGGCCAGAGATATAGTGAACATGATAGCGTGCGAGGGAGGAGAAAGAGTGGAAAGACACGAGTTACTGGGAAAATGGAGGATGAGAATGATGATGGCTGGGTTTATGCAACGTGAAGTGAGTTCGTCAGTGGCGTCAGCTGTGAATGAAGTGTTAGTGAAGGGGTATGATAGTAATTACAGGCTAAGTGCTGGAAGCCATGGTGCATTGTTTCTGCTGTGGAAGGGGAGAGCAATGGCTACTTGTTCTGCTTGGATTCCCATTCCCCACAATCATGACCAAATGTTTCAGTCCTGTAGGCTCTAATAATGTATAGCAGAAAGCAAAGAGGGAAGCTGCAGGCCATGAACAACCTACACTCAACACAAAAGGCTTTTCTTTTGTTGCAGAGCAACGTACAGGATGCAATTGATGCAATAATCTGTCAGTTCCCTGAGTCACCCACTGATCAATCGCCAAGTTAGCTATGAAGGTTCAGTCGACTAGAATGTGAAATGCTCAGAGCTTTGCACTTGATTTGGTTTCGGTATTAATTGTTGTACATAAGAAGTGGCATACACACAATCGAGTAGACGGTCTGTAGAACCACGATCATCTCTCAACTCGGATTTTGTGACTGAAGCGCCAGCTAAATGAGTGGGGAAGACCGCACGCTCTTCACGCCCCATCAATCTTTCTGTAACCTGATCTTGCCTGTCGTATACATGCGGAAGCCATTGCTGGACGAAACAAGCTTTAGACCTCTATGCTTCTTGGACGCTGATGGATGGCACTTGTAGGGTTTTGGCACATGAACTGGTTTGACCAAACATGTCTTTCCCATGTCCGGAATGCCGTGGAGGTGGGAAGGAAGATCCATCACGAATTCTCCGAGCTCATCTGTAACAGTTTTGATCCATCTTGACCTCCTTTTGACTCCGGTCTGGCACTTGATGGCGACGGTGGCGCCTGCCAAAGTTCAATTGGAAACGTTAATATAGGTGTATATATAAATTCGTTTGGTTGTGTAAAAAGCTTAGAACTTGGGCATGTCTAAGCTGGAGAAAGAATCAAGCTACAAGGATTGAAAGATGGTAAAAGGGACGGGAGGTGACCTGGAACTGGGATGGGGAAGGAGAGAGGATGGTCGGAGCAGAGAAGGGTGCCGGTGACCACCACCGACGAAAGCTTTTCTTCCCCGTAGCCTGCCATCGCTACCATCTCCCTTCGGCTCCATTGCCTCTCCGAAACTGCGCCTCCCAAAGTGAAGAGCACCAAGAATAACAAGAAGAACCCATGCATGATGACGACTACGAGAATGCCCTTGGAGGAAAGGCTGCTTTTATATATTATGTGTATGTACTATGTACGCGCAGCGGAACAACGAGAGATGATGGATTTAAGGAGAAACCTTTTGCGTGGTTTGAGGGTTGGAGCTCTAAATGGCATGGCGTCGTGAATCGTATGACGACCGTAGACATATAAATATAATATAATACAATACAATATATAGCCAGACCTAAACCTCACGTCTGACTTATTCAACAGCCGACTCTAAATTGCTTTTTTTTTTTGTTGTCCTTCGAAATAACTGCGACATTTAATTCTCAAATTACATTTTGGAAATCAACAGTAAGAAAAAATGAAATTAATATTGGTAGGAAGGAAGATTAGGAGCTGGAATATTTGTATATTTGAGCGTTTCTGCTGTCAAGCCTACCCCCAACCGTGTATCCAAGTGCAGCGGACGTAAGCTTTTTCTTGTACAACGTGTTGTATTTTGTGGTTTGTGGTTTGTGGTTTGGTTAACAATCAGAAGGCCACGTGGCGCACGGTCAAGTGGGTTGAGTCAGCGAGGGGTTTAGTTGAACCGAGAACATTCCCAACGCAATAATATAATAAGAATAATAATTTGTCAACCAATCCTTCAACTCCAACTCCAAAATCTTTAAACTATAGAGGTCTTTCACATCTTCTTTCTAGGGGATGGAGGTTTCGGTTCGATTTGAGAATCACACCGTAACGAATTAAAAATTACAGTATTTTTTTTTATAAATAGAACTGTCTAAAAATTTTCAAACAGGTATTTCTTTTTAGCAAATCGAATTCTTTGGAATCGAACCAAACCGAATTTTAAAAAAACTCAAAAAATCAAAAAATTCTCAAAAACATCTAATTTTTTTAAAAAAAATCGGAAGCAAACCGATTTGCAGCCAAAACCGAACAAATCCTGCGTTCTGTACCACCCACCATCGTGGTGTGGTAACCATCTCACAAGCGCAAGGGCAGGAAACCTCAACTTTCTTTTGGGTTCACCAGCAAAGTTCTTAATACTAAGACGGACCCGCATGAGCAGAAAAAGTAGCACAAGGGCAGAGTTTTAAAACCTCTTCGTTTGTGCAGAATCAATCTACTCTAACAATTCACGTCGACCCCACGGCTCGGCTTGAGCATGGGCTGTGACAATGAAGACAGTAGTAGGAACTGACGGTGAAATTGGCAATGCAAAGAGAATAACATAAAGAGTACTAACTTGGAGACCTTCATTTCTCATATCCAGAAGGTCAGTCAGTACAAAGGACAAGTAGATGCGATCTCATGAATGAATGACTCTGTCTAGCTTCGCTCAGGAGGAACTTCAATGCATACCTTTTTGCTCTCTGGAGGTTCATATTTCTCCCCGCATTCATTGTCAGTACCTTCCTTCCCCCTATGTTCTTCACAGTCAAGTTCACGTTTTGAACCTTCTTCGGCATCCGATTCACATCTTTTTCTTTGTGGAATCACCGCAAAGAACGAAGTTTTCCAGTCCTTGGTTTCTAGAAACTTCATGAGTATCTCAACAACTTGGTTCACAGTGAGGACCTACTCCCCCCCCAAAAAAAAAATGCCAAATCTGAGGTTGGATCTTGCTTTTTTACATAAATCTCACGAAAGTCAAGACACGCAAGAGATAACTTCTGGTGCTTAGTAACATTTGTGATAAACCATCAAGAAACAACCAAGTTAGATTTAGACCTAGGTTCTTAATGTCTCAAAGCGATTGAGGACATGGTGGCCTTCTACCTCTATAATCTATATGCAGTCCATAACCATTTTGTGGCTACAGAAAGTTGCAAAACAAGAAATTGAACAACCTTTTATTTCATTCTAGAGAAAAAAAAATGATGTCACATAAGAAATCTGTTGCTAAGATTGGTCAATTGGCCTGTAAATGACCCATTTATATTCATTAAAGACTATAACACATCAAAACATGTTTCGACCATTGAACTAAACTTGTTTGACATCTTTACTGCAAAATTTTGATTTCATAAATCATTCACAAACAATAGAGGACTATAGCAAGTTGTGTAGATACCTGAGAGCTCGACATTTTCAAATAGTCCGCGATCGGAAGTTTAGCAGTTTCGATGCCCTGTTCTTGAGCTTTCTGCATCGTTATCCCTTTGAACCGGTTTCGATCCACTAAGCCTCCAACTATGTAGATTTTCTTTGGGTCAAGTTCATCCAAAATCGTCTCAGAATCGGCTGTAAGGTACACCAGATTCTCTTTCTGATCTGCCATGACCTCGACGTAAGATCGATCTTCCTTCTCAATCATCCACTTATCAAAACCTGGTAGCTTCTGCAAACGAGTGTCTATTTGTCCTCTGCACCCTGTCAGCCATAGATGACAAGGGCATGCACTCCTTCCATTCATCGCGTAACAATACATAATCTGTGTGTTTCACCAGCCAAGTTCACCAATCAATACCTTCATTGTTGTTAGAAATCATAAATGTCTTCGTCAATTCCGCAAGACTTTGAGAAAAAAAACAAATCAGCAAACGACAAATGACATGGAGGCAAAATTCTTCTGATAAACAAGACTTCCATCCACGGAACAAAAAGCGTGTCGACAACAAGCAATACTCACTGATGCAAAAATCTGTTAAAAGAATGAGACTTTCATCAATTGAACGCCGTAAAAGCTATAGATGCAGATCATTTCTTCAGACAGAAGTAAGGATGTGTGAGAAAGCGCAAGCACATAGAGCATAATACAGTCTGCATGTTCCGTCAATAGCATCAACGAAGAAATACCCACCACAGGTGCAAAAACCATCAATAGAACAAGACTTTCGTCGCTTAAAAGTTCGTGGGATACCAAGTCAAACGCACTGATGAAATTCTACATTCAACTAACTGAAAGACAGCGAATAACCTGTTGAACGAGGCTGTGAATCTCGGAGTCGGACATGAGGTGGGCAAACTCAAGATCTACGACCACGTTTTGGCCGGTCTCCTTGGCCTGTGTCAGCCGCTCGATCTTCCTCTCCCTGTCCTCCGATCTCTTCTCCATTCTCTCTCTCCGAAGATTCTGCCTCGACTCTATGAGCTTTAACTTCTCCTCCTCCGTAGCATTCGTTAGGGTTTCCTGCCATTCCTTCCGCTTCCTCTCCACCTCCTGCTTCTTCAGCTCCTTCGCCTGCGCCTTTTTCTCAGCTTTCTTCGCCTCGTACCTCTTCTGTTTCAGAAGCTTCTTCTGGGCGTTTTTCGACAGCGGCTTCGGCTCCGCCGGAGAAGAAACGGCAGGGGGCTCCGGGTTGGGCGGTTTACCGAGGGTGTTTTCGTCATTCTCCACAGTCGCCATCGTCGAGGAAGTCTGGGCGCGGCGAAAATGGATGTGGTGGGAATTTAAGGCTGGCTTTTCTGGGCTCCATATCCAAGAGAATTATCGGCCCATTTTAGTGTGTCTAGAGGCCCATATCCAGTAGTAGAGGGGTATTATTGAGAACATGATCAAAGTTGAGGGGTAGTTCAGACCTTTCGAACCCATCTTCTACTTTTTAAAAAGACCCCGATATTTTATTTTTGTACTCCTTTACTAAAGTGGTAGTGACATTTTGACAAGCGAGAAAGTATGTGGGACAAAAGGGAGAGAGCAGAAAAGAATAGGGGCATAGATGTAAAACACGGAAAAAGAGCGGAAGCGATGAGAGAACACAAAGGCGGAAGTCAAGCATGTTCAGATGTCGCGGCTTTGTTCGAAAACGAAACCCCCACCGGAAAGAG